CTCCGCCCTCTCCCACACAGCCAGCAAGGTGATGCACACGGTGGTGGTGCTGCCCGCTGGAGACTCGTAGGACACAGGTTCTCACCATGTACCCTGGGGCTCTTCTAGAAAGCAAGGGATTTTTCCAGAAATTGCATCAAGAACAAGCCTGAGAAAGGAGGTTTCCCCACGTGGAGAAGGGCACATGGGAAGGGGCCATGTGGGCAGTGTCAGCTGGGCTTGGAAATCCCAGTTAATAGATTCTCTTGTACACATCAGGGGCCTTTCTGTGTCAGTTCTCCAGTTCTCTGACAGCAGCTGAGTGTCTACAGCTTAGTCAGGTCCAACACTGTCTGTGTGCAGTTGGCTCAGGTCCCAGGCTCAGATGGTTAAAGGCCAATCCCACAGGACTGCCCCACACCAGATGCGAGCCACCAATGGGCTGCCCAGACTAGCCACACTCTGCTTGGCTGGCTACAAATTCAAGGATGCCCATGACCTCCCCATAGGTTTGATAATTTGCTACACCGGCTTCCAGAACTCAGGAGCAAGCATTATGTTTACTGGTTTATTAGAAAGGGTGCAAACAGACGGCCAGATGAAGAGGTACTTAAGCATGTGTTTGGTCTTTCTGGTGACCAGCCGCGTCCTGAAGCCGTCTGGGCACCCCACCCTGAGCCACCTGGTCAGCATAAACTCAGGTGTGGTCCTGACGGTTCATTTTAAATAACAAAAGATACTCTTATGGCTCAGGAAATCCTAAGGGTTTACAGGAGCTCTGTGCCAGGAACTGGACACAGTGACCAACTGTGTGTTCACATCTCTTGAGAGGTTTTATTCACACTTCTGAGTTACACAATGTATGTGTGTGCACACATGTGTTCTGTGTTTTCCCTGTTTTAGACTCTGTCAGAGGAGCAAGTGGCTTCTCTGTCAGCTTGGGGTGTTAGAGCCTCACTCCTGCCTGACCGGAGTGGCTGGCTCTTCCTCCCAGAGCGTTGGCTCAAACCCCGCTGTTTCTGTCTCACGTTCTCGTGAGGGCTGGGCAGTGGCAACCACTCTTCCTCGTGGTGCTCGTGTGGCACCAGAGCCTGGGCTCTGGGGGCAGCGTCCTCATTGTTTGCACTCCAGAGGGGAGGGCAAGTTGCCAAGGTGGGCCGGGTGGGCCCCGGTGCTGTGGGAGCTCTTGCGTGAGCTGCCGTCTGTGAGGCCACTCACAAGGTGGCACCAATGCAGGGCGCCCAGATCGCGAGTTGCTGTGGGAAGCAGAGGCTTGGGGCAGAGCACGCTTGCTGGTTAAAAAGGGGACACACAGCCAGAGCAGGGGCCACGCCCTTTCACAGGCCTGGGGTTTCTGCTTGGCATTTGTTTACTTTTGCATTGTTTGGTTCACGGCCTTTGTGGGTTGGTTGGTTCACGGTTATTCTAGAATTTAGGCATTAGTGACTGTTTCTGGTTTTTTTCCCCTTTACTTTTTAGTTTACCTAGAGATAAGTTCACTTTTGGGTACAGTTCTGTGAGTTTTGACACATGCATACTTTTGTCATGTAACCAACAGCACAAGCAAGACAGAACATTTTCGTGTTCTCCCCTCCTAGATTCTCTCGCGCTGCCCCTTTGTAGGCAGAACTCCCTCATCTGTATTCTCTGGTAGGCACTGAACCATCCCTGTAGATTGGCCAGTTCCAGAAAGTCCTGTCGGTGGTGTTACATTTGAATCAGGCTCTGACCCCGTGCGATGCCTGTGGGATTCACCGGTGTTGGTGCCGCGTTGACGGTGCTGAGTGGTGCCTGCTGCAGGGCTCTGTGGAGGTCCTCCCTGCTTGCCTGAGGGCCGTGGGGCGCGTCTCTATTTGCGGTGATGAGCAGTAGGCTGCTGTGAGGCTGTGTGGGTTCCTGGGCAGCCTTGCTGACCTTGCAGATGGGCTTGCGGGGCCTGTGGCAGGCGTTCCGTTCAACTAGGACTGCCTTTGCCCCTCTCAGGAGCCGTGTGACCGTGTCAGTGTGGGTCTGTCTCTGGACTCTGTTCTGTCCCCTTGATCTGTGTCTGTCCTTTCACCAGTGCCACACTGTCTTGATGACTAGAAGTCTTGAAATCAGATTGTGTGAACCTTCCTACTTTGTTCTTTTTCAAAAACACTGGTTATTCTAGCTCCTTTGCCTTCCCATGTAGATTTTAGAAACAGCATGTCAGTATCTACAAAAATTTCTACCGGGGTTTTGGTTGGAATTGTGTTAAACCTGTAGATACATTTAGGGAGAAGTGAGATCCTGACAGCATTGAGTCTTAATCTGCAAGCCCAGCATGTCCCTCCATCTGCTGAGGGCGCCTTGGATGTCTCATTGGTGCTGGGCCGTTGTTGGCACACAGATCCCGCGCGTGTCGTGTTCATTTAGGCTAAAGTGTTTCCTGTGTTTTGGTGCTGTTGTGAGTAGGACTTTAGTTTCCATTCTGACTGTCGATTGCTAGTATATAGAGATACAATTTATTATTTGTATATTGACCTTGTGTTCTGTGGCTTTGCTGAACTTAATTTATTAGTTCTAGTAGTTTTTTGTGGGTTTCTTTGGGATTTCTGTGTACAGGATCAGGTTGTCTAGTGGGAAGGTGGTTAGCCTGCTTCCTTTTCAGTCCAGCTGTCTGTCTTTTTTCTTGCCTTCCTGCTCTGACGGGGGCTCCAGCACAGAGTGGGGTAGCTGTGGGGGGAGTGGACACTCTTCTCTTGTTCCTGATCTCAGGGCCAGCAACCAATCCCTCCTCTGAGCAGGATGTCTGCTGTCAGTCTCTGTCGATGCCCTCTATCAGGTTGAGGAAGGGCTCTTCTCTTCCTGGTCTCTCGAGTGTTTTTATCATGAAAGGGTGTTGGGTTTTGTCAAATGCTCTTTCTGTGTCTATTGACATTATCATAATGTTTTTCTTCTTTAATTTGTTAATATAGTGAATTGTGTTTGTGATTGATTTATTTTTAAAAAATGCATTCCTGGGGTAAGTCCTACTTGGGCATGGTATCTATTCCTTTTTGTGTGTTAATGGTTTCAATTTGCTGATACCTGGTTTAGGATTTTTACATCTGTGTTCATGGGAGATTATTAGTCTGTAGTTTTCTCGTATCGTCTTTGTCTGGTGTTAATATTGGGGTACGCCCAGCATCATTAAATGAGTTGGTGCTTGTCCCTCCTCTTGAGATTTTTGGAAGATTGTATGGAATTGGTGTCACTTCTTCCTTAAGTGTTTGATAGCTGTCACCAGTGAAGCCATCGCTCCTGGAGTTTTCTTTGTGGGAAAGTTTTTAACTATAAATTCAATTTCTTGAATAGAATGGAGCAGTTTCAGTAGTTTGTGTTTTTCAAGGCCTTGGTCCATTTTATCTAAATTGTTGGATTTATGGGTGTTGGGCTGCCTTTGGTGCTCACTCGTGGTCTTTGGCTGGCTGCTGAGCACTGGCCACCTGGGCTTCTCCCTCTGCCTGTGCAATCTGAGCTGCAGTCCCCATGCTCCCCTGTCAGGTTAACCGTTAGTGACGTGTGGCTGAGGCCACTTGGTGCAAGGAATTGTGGTGTGGGCCTTCACCAGAGGCTGTTGAATGTCTTTGGGCTTCCGGGTGTGTGTTCTCCAGCCGTGTGTGTCGGCCTCAGCCCTGTGAGGGAGGCTCCTGGAGCTTGCAGGGCACGCGGGTGCACTCCACATGCTCAGCCTGCCTGCAGGTCCGCAGCCTGGGTGCTGCCTGCTGGTGAGAGAGTGGGTCCTTGTGCGCTGAGGGAGAGCCAGGCGCTGCTGACGGCTCGGCTGCCTGGCAGCCATTGAGGACGGGACCAGGCCCTGACGTCCTGGTGAATAACTCTCTGGAAACTGACCCACACTGATGTGGGCACTTGAGAGTGGAGGCGTCTTGTGGGGACCTGATGGAAGACAATAGCCAAACGATAGCAAGAGGACTTCCTGCTCATCAGAATCAGCAGTCTTCTTCAGGAACAGAGCCTTTCCATCCTTAACTGTCACGAGAGTCTGCCTCACTGCTGAAGCAGGTGGAGAGAGTAGAACCCCCACCTCCCGCTGAGAGCAGCAGTGTCATAAGTGTTCTTGTAAGAAGAGGGGAGGGGGATAGAGAGGACGCCTGGTGGAGATGGGAGTGATGCTGCCATAGGCCAAGGAGAGCTTGGGCCTAGCTGGAAGAGTCAAGGGACGATCCTCTTCAAGAGGCTTCAGAGGGAGCAGGGCCCTGCTGACACCTTGATTTTGGACTTCCGGCCTCCAGAATTGTGAGAAAGTAAATCTTGTTTTAAGCTACCCAGTTTGTGGTACTTTGTTATGGCGGCCCCAGGAGACTAAGGCTGTCCCTGCGGGGGAGGGGGTTGTGCTCCTGAGTGGGCCGGGCAGTACCCTCTGTTCACCAGGGCCCGGCTGGGCTCAGAGCCACCTCCTGGGCTGGTGGAGCCCTGCAGAGCTCTCTTTTTCCCCTGACTGGTTAAGTGGTTTCCTGTAAACCTTTCATAACTTTTCTGTTTTTTGGTCCCAGTGATTGGTTTCAGAGCCAGGATGACTTTGTGTTTGAAAGTAGAGCCGGGCCAGGCCCTTGGCAGCCTCCTGGGCTGGTCTGTGCTATGGCGCTTCGGCCTCCAGGGAGCTTGGCCTTTAGGAGGGCAGCGTTTGTGTCTGGCTTACCTCCTCTCTTCTCTCATCTCACTTATGATGACCTTCACGTTCTTCTCCTAAGGTTGTTTATCTTTAGATTTCTAACTGTCTGATCAGACTCAGATTCAGGCAAGGCGGCCTGGCCGGCCATGCGGCCTGGGTCCTCACGGCACCCGTCTCTCCCACCCCGTCGCGCAGCGTACTCTCTAGCCTCGAGTAGTGCCGTTCTCACTCTGTCTCGGGGCAGCTGGACAGGGCCTGTGGGGGTGGCGTGCTCCATGAGGTAGTGAAGAGGACAGGAAGCCTCTGGGGGCAGCAGCACGGGGAGCAGCTGTGCGAGGCCGGCAGGCTTGGCCCAGCATTCAGGGGCGGCTACTTTGTTTTGTAGTATTTTAACCACATCAGTATCGAGGACTCACGGGTCTACGAGCTGACCAGCAAGGCCGGACTGTTGTCTCCCTATCAGATCCTCCACGAGTGCCTTAAAAGGTAGGGCGAGGTGTTTCCCCCTAAGTCAGGTTGCGGGGGCTTCCCTCGGGCGCCAGCACCCTCACTGGCTGTTTATCCTGGTTCACGACGGGATGCTGAGTCCGAGCCATTGCCAGCGCTCCCCGCACGCACAGAAGCCCCTCATGCCTGGCGACCATCAGGGTCCCGTGGGGTTGGATTGGGTGTGCTAGGAGGATCTCTTCGGCTGAGAAGTGGTTTAAGGAAAAGGCTTGGCTTGTCTTCAGAGAAAGGGCTTTCCAGAAGCAGTCATTTCCTCCTCAGCTGATATCACCTGTTGTCTTTGTTTTCTCTTAAAGAAACCATGGAATGGGTGACACATCCATCAAGTTTGAAGTGGTTCCTGGTAAAAACCAGAAGAGCGAATATGTCATGGCGTGCGGCAAGCACACAGTGCGCGGCTGGTGTAAGGGCCCCCTCCTCTCCTCCCGCTACCCACCACGCTTCTAAACGGCCACTGGGGGTGTCGCCTGCCGGCTTGCTGCCTATGGCCTCTCCCAGAGCCTCGAGCCTTTGTGGCTTCGTCCCTGGCCGCTGCCCTGGCATCACTTCCAAGCTGCACTGTGTCCACCAGCACCTCACGGCCACATCTGCAACAGTCAGCCTGAGGCGCGACTGTGGCATCCGTCTGTGCGATCTCTGTCCTCCTCACTCTCCCTGGCTGGGGCTGGTCATTTTGGCTGGGCCATGTGTTCCCCTCCTGCCACCACTGCCGCTGTCTAGCCCTTGGGCCCTGTGGTGGGAGGAGGGGTGTCCCAGTAAAGGGCAGCAGGGCTCTACCGTGCCGTGCTCTGCACCGTGTGTTGAGTGCGCCTGCCCCTCTGTTCTGGTCTGGGTGTGCTATCTGTATCCTCTACCTAACTTGGTTTTTGAAATAGCCACTTTTAAAAATATTTTTTTTTATTTTATACTTATATTTATTTTAAAAGAAAACTTTTTGTAACTGCAGTAAATAACAAAGCTGGTGCTATGTAAATGAGAAGGCAGTGCATATGTGGGCCTTGGGAAAACTGCAGGACCACATTCAGACCCAGGGGTACCCTGCACCCCATTCCCTGCTGAGACGCACTCCTGAGCAGGTGGGCAGGGCGTGGGACAGAGGAGGGATCCTGGCGCTGTGATCCCCTCGTCCAGCCTGAGAGGCCCTGTCTGGAAGCCTGGCCAGTCTTGGCCCCCCTGGCCAGAGGTATCTCCTGGCACTTGCCATTCTCCTGACCCACTCTGCGCCCTGGCCCTGCCTTCCCTCTGCCAGAAACCTCCTCCAGAGCACGCACATCCTCTGGATTCTCCTCCTCCAGGCCTTCTGGTAGAGCCCCTCCCCTCTGCCCTCCCCCCAGGAGCCCCAGGCCACGTGCTTTGTGATGCCTCGTTTCTTCTTGTCTGTGTGTCTAGAAATGTGGGGTTGTGGCAGGAGGGAGGCCTCTTAAGCTATGTGACCTTGGGCTTGTCCTGACCTCCCAGAGCCTTTCGTGGGCTACTCTGCACAGCAGGCTAGGGGTAGGTCCTGGCATTGGTCACGAGATGCCCATGCTCAGTGCAGTGGCGGAGCACTTCCCACCCCTTCCTATAGCACATGCCCTCAGCTGGCTGGGGGGAATGGCAGGGGCACTGCTGTTGAGGTGAGGTAGCTGTGTGGACAGCTGGATGTGACTCCCTCTCTCCATGTTTCTTCTCCCTCTTCACAGGTAAAAATAAGAGAGTTGGAAAACAGTTAGCCTCTCAGAAAATCCTCCAGCTCCTGCACCCGCACGTCAAGAACTGGGGGTCTTTACTGCGTATGTATGGCCGCGAAAGCAGCAAGATGGTCAAACAGGTACCAGACCCTCCCCCGGGCCTTGGCCAGCTTCTGTGTCCTGTCCTCCCCCAGCCACAGCCACGGCTGGGGTCCTGCTGTCACAGGACAGTTGGGTCACTCTGCTCTTGTTCACAGCTGCGTCTCAGGCTTGCTGCTGGGCCACGTCTGTGACTTTATGGTGAGAGTGGGGTCATCCTTCCCAAAGAGGCCTGGGCCAGCTCTGGCTGTGGAGGGAGAGGTCTGGAGCGTCAGGCAGAGCCGCAGGGCCAGGCAGGAGGTGCAGGTCCCAGGAAGGCTCAGCAGTTGGGCCCTCCCGGGCCTCTCTGAGGGACCCCTCATGCTAATGTGAGGACACCTGCTGGCTTGAGGGGCGAGCATGTAAGGGCAGTGCTCCTGGCTACGAACACTAGTTTACTTTTACCTAAAAAGCTTGTATGTGTCACTATTTTGTTTCTGTTTTTGCCAAGATCTTGAGATTTAAACCAATACCCTTAGGTTTGTGTGCTTTGTGGGGTGGAGGGAATTGTTCGGATGTGAGTGTTACATTTAAAAATTTTTCCCTTGGTGTTTACAGAAACAGTCTGGGTTATCCACACCCCAGTAAGTGGAGGGTGGTTGGTGCGGAGGGTCGTGACCCTGAGGACTATGCTGTGGGCCCTCAGGCCATTCCTGAAGAGGCCCTCACTCTGGGCATGAGACGGTGGGGTGAGGGAGGTGACACTGGGACCCAAGGTGCTTAAAGGAACCTCAGGGTACCTGTTGTTGAGAAGACTCAGATGCAGTGCAGATGAAGCTTACTTCTGCCTTTCTGTGTGTGTTTTACATCTGCATTGTCTTGGGCTGAGACTGAGGGAGAGAAAGCCCGCTTTGGTCCATGGGTGGGAACCCCTCCTAAGCTGGAGGGTGAGGGGTCCAGCCCAGGCACGGCCTCAGTGCGTGGCTTTGGAGGTCTGGTGGAGTCTGGTACCCCAAGGCATGGCACTTGTCCTCAGAGATGACCTCTTAAGACAGGAAGGGTCTCAAGACAGCTTGATGCTGTTCTGAAAGTCATAGGGCCTGCAGAGAGCTCAGCCTCTGGGGCCGATAGGCTCTCAGCTGGCCCCAGTACCGCCAGGGCGTGTCCCATCTAGCAGTATGCGGTCTCTGCTGGCCGTGTTGGAGGTGTGTCCAGCCTCCCTGCTGTGCCTGGGTTAGGAGCAGTGGCAGCTGGGTGCTAGGGTGCCTTTGCCTCCTGAAGGGAGAAGGCTGTGGCCTTCAGCCTGCTGAGGATGGGGCGGACGTGGGGGTGGCCGTGGACTGCTCCACGTTCTCTGCTGCTGCATCAGCCTGCTGGGCACGGGTCGACTGTGGGGCTATGCAGCTCTGGCTCCTGGCCAGAGGGTGCCTGTGAGGCCCTGGGCAGTCCTGAGAGCACTGTGCTCCCCAGGAGACCTCCGACAAGAGCGTGATTGAGCTGCAGCAATATGCCAAGAAGAACAAGCCGAACCTGCACATCCTGAGCAAGCTGCAGGAGGAGATGAAGAGGCTGGCAGAGGAGAGGGTGAGTGTGTGGGCCCTGCCAGCACCGTCCCAGCCAGAACCACACATCACAGCTCCTCGATGCCCTCCATACCCCCGCCCCAAAGACAGCAGAGGGGCACTGAGCTGGAACCACACTGGCAGCTCTCGGGGAAGGCCATTTCCCAGGAATCCGTCACTGGTTCTTGAGGCCCTGGCACTGCCCGGGCACCTGAAAAGGCCCGTCTTCCCAGCAAGCCCTCAGTCCTTCCAGATTAGATTTGCTTTTCCTTGAGCTTCAGCATTCCTGCTACTTGCATCCAGTCATTTCATTTTTAGTTAAATTAGAGAGCTGGCAGCCCTGGCCTGTGATTGTGAAGGGCCTGGCCTCCTGTGCACTGACGCTGGGTCCCCACTCAGCACCAGCCGTTTGAGGGCAGAGACAGTGCATCGGCCAGGGTTCTTGTGGGTGACACTGCCATCCTTGACCTCTTCGTCCTCGAGTCCATGCCTCACAGAACAAGGGAACCTGGGGAGGGCTCAGTCCTGGTGAAGCTTCCTAAAGCCACCCACCTGTGGGGTTTCTGGGCCAGGGCCTTTGTTAGCTGTGGTCTTAGCCCGGGCATATATAAAACCCTGAGAAGGAGGTGTCTGCATCTGTGTGGCTTTCCAGTCCAGGAGACGCCTCACTCCTGCCCTCAGGGGGCCGTGAGGAGAGAGACTCACCCAGGTGGCTTGTCCCTGGCGGCTGTGACCTTGGCCCTTCACTTCGGGGGTGTGTCCTGGTTCCCAGGGAAGTGCCAGCACGTGGTGCCCTGTGATGGCCTCCAGGGAAACCGTCCCGCTCAGCCCCTACCTGGCCTGCTCCTCAGGCCTTCCCTCCTCCTTCCTGCCTGGCATCACAGAGCATGGGTGCCATTCTGCTGGTCTCACCCCTCACCCACTCGTCTCCCTCTGAAGCCTCTTGCCCAGTGTAGGGCTGCATGTCCCCACGTTGCCAGCATCACTAACCTTCGTTGTTCTTCCAGGAGGAGACACGGAAGAAGCCCAAGATGTCTATTGTGGCATCTGCACAGCCTGGTGGCGAGCCCCTCTGCACTGTGGATGTGTGAGGGAGGTGGTGGTGGGGCCTGGTGCAGGGGGCTGCCAGCTCCACTGCTGGAGAGACCACACGCCACTCACTGCAGCCTCAGGCCTCCAATCTGAGTTCCTTCCCCGCGGCTGCGTGTCTTGAGGGCCAGGGCCGGAGGGGTGGGGCTCCGGTGCACGGGGACAGCCAAGGCCGCAGCTCTTCCTTGGGAGCCGCCCACAGGTCTGAGTGGACAGGTTCAAAGATGGACTCAGCCTGCACTCACAAGTGGAAGCCAAGAGCTTGAAGACAACTGTGGACCTCTGCTTGTATGGATTTGCTGCAGACTGGTTTTATGAAGGTTTTCATGAATTTTAGTACATAATATGCACTGATAAGAAATGATAGTTTAATGACAGATGAAATGAGAAAGTGACTCCTGAGTCTGGTGCTCTGTGCCCAGGGCTCCTGTGGGCCAGTGCAGGGACCTGGTCAGAAGGCACACGCTGGCACCCCAGTCCCTTCCCTGCCTCCTTTGTTTTCCCCTTTTCTCTGAAAAAGATACAACGAGAAGGAGTATTTCAGTCCTTTTTCGTTTAAAATAAACACAATTTTAGCATCAGAACTATTTTTCAGAGGTTTCAGGCAAACCATCAAGGTGATGATTCTTCATCCTTGTAATGTGTTGCCAGTGTTAGTATGAGGTCTGCCAGTCTCCACCTGGCTTGTTGCCCTGGCCCTGGGGCTGGGGTGTGGTCCAATTTTCTGAGCAAGTCTTAATGCCCTAAAAACACACCTTAGACACTGAGGCCCCTCACCTTCGCTGGCCTCTGGCAACTTTTTACTAAAGATTTTGCACAGTCAAGTCCATCTATCCACTCATCAATTTTTAAAGCTTTTATGATATTTTAGCATTTGGAAAGAAACTTTTACAGTGAGAGTAGAAGATAGATTTGGAATCATGTAGCAGATATATAAACAATTAATGCAGTTTAGCACGTAGACTTATTTAAAAAAGAAAACGAGGACCTTCAGTGCAATGCCTTCTTGATCACAAACTGGCACTCCTCTCCAGAGCTGGCACAAGCAGGGGGAGGGCGGCTGTCCTGCTCCCTGTGACAATGGCTTCGCTGGGTTTCCAGGGCAGCCGCCCCGCACAGCCAGGCCTAGTGACCAGCTTGCTCCTCTGACCAGCAGTCTTGTGTTCTCCAGGTGACCTCTGTGGACAGGTGCAGGGGCGGATGTGTCCCCTGCCCTGAGTCCCAGGGGATGTGGTTGTGCTTGGGACCCTGGGTTGTCCCCACGTGCAAGGTAACGGTGAGCCGTTGGCTCCCTGTACCCAGCACTTGTTCACAGTGCCATGTACTTGTGGCGCACTGCTGGATGCAGGAGCCCAGCACTGGGCTGCACTGTCCTGGTCCACGGGTATGCCACTCACCCATCACATCCCCCGTGGGTGGGGTTGATGGCATTTGTTTTCAGGAAGACAGTGTCGGCCTTGTGGGCCAGCCACAGTGTATCCTTCCCTCACCACCTGTGTGACCAAGGTTGGCTCCTGTGTTGATCTTTATAAAACAAACTCTCAAATCAAGTTGCTGTAATTAGACGCCTGCTTTTGTCTTGCCTCTGGTTTGCAGCTGTGAATAATCATTTGACACAGACTGTTTGCCCTTAAAACAGCCAGATGCACCATCGTGAGCCAAGGCTTTGTGCACATGTGTTACTAGAGGCGGACGAGCCTCACTGTGGCCTCCTGTGCCCTTCCTCCCTGTCCTGTGTGTAGGTGCAAGGGTCGTGTGCACACAGCCGTGCAGTGCGGGCGGAGGGCAGGGACAGTGTGCAGCCACAGCCCATTGTATACCTTCCAGGTGGCAGCTAGGCCACGGCTGTAAGGGTGAGCCTTATTGTCTGAACACATAAAACAAAACTGTCCAAAGAGAATGGCTGGTGTTTGTTTCTTCTAACTGTGGGAGGCTGGTGGGCTGGAGGACCCTCTACTGTCCAGAACCTCTCCTGGAGCCTCCCCTGAAAGGCTGGGGCCTTCGCTTGGACGCAGCTGGTCCTGCAGCAGCTGAGCAGCATCCAGTCTGACCCTTGGCTCCTTCCTTGGCCACTAGGGAGGTGGCTTCCCTTAAGGGCTCAAGGTCAGGTTGGGGATGAGGCCCAGGAGGGTCCTCCCCTCACAGAGAAAAGTAGGGGCTGACCACTGGGCCTGCCCAGGGTGGGGAGGGTAGGCGGGGCCGGCACCTTGCCTTGAGCTCTCCCCCTAGCGTGTACACTGGCCATGAGATCTGCATGTCTGCTTCTCAGGGTTAAGCATAAAACCAGCCATTCTATCAAATAGCAAGCTCTCTGCTGTGACTTACGGCCATGCAGTGGGACTGGGAGAACTGCGCCAATGCTCAGCCACACCGGGGCTGATTCTCGGCTGTGCCCAGGGCTGACAGTGCTGGCAGGAGGCAGAGACTCAGACCTAGCTTTATCCCCATGGGGTGCCCTCGGTGCCCTCCTGGCCCTGCTCCTTTGCACCTGTAGTGGGGGGCAGACACGAGCACTTGGGTGCCAAAACTCTGGGCTCATCACAGAAACGTTGGTGGCTCATCAATTGTTTATTCTGGCTCTTTTGGCCCAGTTGGTCCAAAAAGAACGGGGCGGGGAGGGTGGCAGAGGGGCAGAGGATCCCATGGCCCTGGGCAGGGTGGCCAGGTCTCATGCCCTCCGTGGTTGGTGGCTCAGCGTCCTGGGGTAAGGCAAGGTCTCAGGGAGCCCCTGGGCTGCTGCTCCTGTGATGCAAACTGGGCCCTGTTCTGGAAGGGCTGGTTTCCGCTGCTCCACAGGCCTAGGGAGAGGGGGAGACCCCGCTTCCCTGCAGGGTGTCATCTGGGGGCCCTGGTGGGGGCTGGGCTGTAGAATCCTGGGGCTCCGGGGCCCCTGAGCCATTGGATTGCTCCACTCTCTCAAATAGGATGAGCATCTCACAATGCGAGGTCTGTGGGAACAGATCCACGGCTACAGCCTTGACAGGCCGGAAGGGAGTGCCTTTCACCCGGTTAGACGGGGCCCTGCAGAGGCTGTGGTGGGAATGGAGTGTCATGGTCAGCCACATGGGTCCAGCCAGGGGCTCCTATGGGGGGCGTGGGGCTGGGTGCTGGGCCCCAGTCCACCCCAGGCCCCCGACTTCACACTCACTCCACAAAGTTGCTCATGGCCGCCCGGGGGTTGCAGGAGACGTACAGGAGCCGCTTGAGATTCTCAGCTTTGCGGACGGCCAGGATCACTTTGGAATCTGAGGAGGCAGACTCTTCAAGGAAGAGTCCCCATGGGTCCCTCACCTCAGTGAGAGTATGGGGGTCCCAGGGGGGTTGGGCATCAGGCCTGATGTGTGCCACCCAGACACCGCTGCCCACCTCTCCCCACATCACCCCCTAACTGGAGGCCACTCACGCAGGCCGGCGCGGGGTGGGTCCAGGACAGCAACGAGCTGCTGGGAGGCCAGTCTGCTCACCAGGGTGGGCACCAAGTCCTCAGCCCTCCCACAGTGGAACTCAACGTTGCTCAGCTCTGGAAATGGCATGGCAGCCCTGTCAGGGGATGCAGGATATCCACCCCCACAGGGCCCGCCCAGCTGCCTGGTATCCTGAAGCCCCTGCCTAGAGGGGCCTTAGGAAGACCTGGCCAGGGAGCCTGCTGGCGCTTCCTTCCCTGTCGGGCAGCCCCAGGCATTGTGGGTGCACAGTAGGTCCTCAGGGAGCCCTTCGCACTCTCTGCCCTCCTGGTGGACCCTAGGAGCCACCTGGTGGGTTCTAGGTGCTGTGCTGAGGACATGCAGGGATGACTGCTGCCCCCCCAGGGCCTGCCCACCCACTCGCTGTATGGCACAATGGCTCTCACCATTGTCGCGGGCGTTCACCCGGGCATCCTCCACGGCCTCCTGGCACAGCTCAATCCCCACGACTCTCTTCACCTTCTGAAGCAAGAAAAAGGCACACACTGATGACACCCCACCCGCCCCAGGGGGCTTTTGGGGGAGGGGGATAACAGGAATCATGTGGGCAATAGAAAAGGATCTGGGACAGGGTGGGGGTTAACCTCTCAGTCTTTAAGCTGCGGGTCACTGGGGGTCACGAGGCGAGGGACAAAACGGGTAGAGTGGGGAGAGACTGCCTTGACCGGGGCAGGAGGGCTCACCCGGGCCAGGGCCAGGCCAATGGTGCCAGTGCCGCAGCACACGTCTAGCACCGTGCTCCCTGTGTCAAGCTGGGCCCAGTCCTGGATGACGGTGTAGAGCACCTCGGCTGCTGGGGTATTCACCTGGAGGGTGGGCCGGTGGCACCCAGGATGTGAGAGCAGCCCCGCTGTCTGGGCCAGCCCCCGCTGCAGCCCCTGCGCCTCGGATGCCCCTCCTGCTCAGAGGCCTCTGTGGCCCAGTCCCCAGCTCAATCGTCCTCTTCTCAGGTCTCCTACTCCCACTGCTCCCCCACCTCTAAGTACCAGAGGGCCCAAGGGTCAGTCCTTGGACTGCCTCTTGATCCCCATGATGCTGAGGAACCTCACCTAGTCTCCTGGTTTTAAAAAGCAACTTGATGCTAACAGCCCCCCCCCCACCCCCTCAAGCTTCTTTCCTGAGTGCCAGACTTGTGGGACCCCCGAATCAGCATGAGACGTCACAGACTCCAGCAGAGCTCACACCAGAGCCCTGGCATTGCCCTGACTCCTGCTTCCACACCCACACGCGGCCCTCCAGCAGGGCCGTCCCAGGGTCTAGTCAGCGGTAAACCACCTTTCCTGTCTCACAGCCCTGCAGCTCCCCCGCCTGGACGCTCCTGCCCACGCCTCTGCCAGGCTAACCCCTTGTTGCTGCTCTTGTCCCAGTCACGTCCTGCCATCAAGTCAGGCCTCCCTCTGTATGTCCTTGTGATGCCCAGAGATTCTGGGCTACCTGGAAGAAGGCGTGAGGAGAGATCCGGAAAGTCAACCCCAGCAGGTCCTCGTGGATGCACCGGTCCCCAGCCACATGCTCCAGGGGCAGGCCCTCCTGGCTGGGAGTCTTCCTGTGGGTGGCAAGGTGGCCCGTCAGTGTCACGAGCCCAAACAGGGATCTGCCCCCCTCCCCCACTGGCTCCTCACCGCTGTCCCTCCTCCACGAAGTAGAGGCAGGTCACCCCGCTGGCCTTGCCCGGTCCTGCCATGAAGTGGTGCGCCAAGGAGGCCTTCAGCCCTGCCAGTTCCTCAGGGCTCAGTTTCTAGAGTAGGCAGTAGGAAAAACCCTGTCAGGCTGTGTCGCAGCTCACTCCGGCCCGGACAACCCCTCCTTGAGGGCCACCCTGCTGGAGACCTGGGGGTGGAAGTAGGCAATGGCCATGGCCTGGCCACGGCGGCTGGTGCGCACAGTCAGCTGCTTCCAGTGGCCCGAGTATGTCTCTGGGTCGTATGCCGAGTATGGAGTGGACCTGTGGGAGCCATGAGGGCCCTAAGTCCCAGACATCTGCCAACCAGGATTCAGCCAGCAGCCTCCCTGCTCTCTCCTCCAGCGACATCCATGAGACCACAACCACCAGACCCCCCGCCCCCCAGCCAAGCAAGACACAGGCCCTGAGTTCTGAGACCGCCTCAGGACTTCCGAGGAACACCCAGCCCAAGTTGCAAGTCCTCACCGGATGAACTCCTGGAAGGCCTTCACCACCCGCTTGGTGGCCTCGGGGATGTGCACCGTGTCAAAGGGGGCGGCTACAGCACACGTCCCACCCTTGTACTTGCCGAGGCGGCAGCCAACTGTGTTGTCCTCCCCATCCACCCCGACGCCGATCAGAAATTCACACTTATTACGATACTCAGTCTGCAGGGAGGGCAGAGGAAGGCAAAGATATGCTGACCTTATCCTGGCCGTCAAGCACTCGTTCGCGGAGGGAACCCCACAGTGAGGGAGAGATGGCGGTGACCGAGAGGCCTGGTTGCCCCACAGGGCCTAGCAGTACAGGGGACGAGGCTGACAACAATTAGTGGTTCTGGGACAAACACTAGGAATACACACAAAGCAGGAAGAGGGCCGAGAGAGACTGGCGAGCAGCTCCTCAGCACGAGTGAGGGGCGGGGCGGGGCCTGACCTGCTGGGGAGACGGCCTGACCCCCTCCAGCGGGCAGCAGGCCTTGTTGTGCTTGTGCCTCTGCGAGAACAGCCAGGGCAGCAGGGCGCGGTTGGTGCTCCCAATTTCCCTGTAGGGTGAGGTGGGGCTGAGGCTGGCCTCAGCCTGTCGCCCCCTGCCCATCCCTAACCACTCTCCAAATGTTCAGGTGCCCAGACCCCTCCCTTGGGACTTCATCCTCCCCACTGGTAGCCTAAGAGTATTACTGGCTAGCTCCCCAAGAGACTGTGCAGCACGGGGGGTGTCCGTTCAGTACACCAGGCAGGCTGAGCCAACACAGCGCAGCAGAGCTCCGTGCTAAGGGGGTGGCCTGTGCCCACACTCACTTGGCCAGCTTCTGCAGCACCTGCTCGCACTCTAGCCGCTTCCGCTCAAGCTGTTCTGCGTAGGGCACGGCCCAAAGAGGGGTCACTACATCAGCGACACAAGTGGCGGGTGGCTCCCCCTCACTCTCAAGCCGCCTCTTCCTGGCCATGGGGTCAGCCTTGGGCCTGGCCAGGCGCACGCTGAGCGGCCGGCCTTTCCAAAGGGCACCATGCAGCACACGCAGGGCCTTGTCCCGCTCAGCTGCGCTGCGGAATGTCACAAAGGCGCAAGGAGGCTGCCCGAAGAGTTTGGTCTTATGGGGCTGGAGGCCAAAGCGGCCCAGGAAGCGCCGGACATCGCTGAAGCTGGCGTGGCGGGGCACGTTCTGCAGCTCCAGCTTGAAGATCTCCGAGGTGAACAAGCCGTCCCTGATGTAGCCGTAGAGCCCAGGCTGAGCCCCGGGCTCTGCAGCCGCCCCAGCCCCCTCTTCCTCCTCCTTCTCCTGGGGGGCCGCGGCTGCGGGGCTGCCCGGGGCACTGCCGCTGTCCTGGCCGCAGCCCTCCGTGGGCCCAGGGCCCTGTATGGGGACAGGCAGGGTCTGGGCTGGGGCCTGGACGCCCAGGCTCCCTCCCCACACCCAGACCTCCAACAGACCACCTTCCCGCAGCCCTGTCCCCTTCTACCCTCCTCACCCCTGTCCCCTTCTCCAGCCCTCTCCCCTCTCACCGCCCCCCATCCCGCCCCCCCCCCGTCTTCTCTTGGGCGTTCCTGCTCCGCCCCATCTCCACCCCGTCCTCTCTCATCTCCGCCCGCGTCTCGCCCCAGGATCTCCTTCACTTTACTTCGTTGTCCAGCTTGTCACTCATCGTCCGGCCCGTCCTCTGCCTGGACTCGGGCCTACGAGGGCCACCTCGCCTTGGGCCAGGCACACGAGAGGCGCTGAGGGCGGGTGCACCGCCACGAGGCCGCCCCCGGCTCCGCCCAGGGTGGGGGCGGGACTCGAACCCTCGTAGCTCAGGTCCGAGCGTCGGACATGGGGTGCCCCGCCCGCCCGCCAGGGGCCCGCGCCGGGCGCTCGCCTCGCCGGCGGCTCTCCCGTGCGCCAGCGCACGCAGCCCAGGCGGCGCGTCTCTATGATCCTGGCTTCCGATAGCGTCATCGCCGCGCGCCGGCTTCAATCCCAGCCGCGTTTGAGAGCTCGAGGGGCGCGCGTGGCCGCGGGGCGGAAGTGCGCGCGGGGGCCGCCGGGAGCGCACACTCTCCTGGCGGCTGGGCGGGTCGGGCATGCGCCGCGGGCGTTTTGGCGGGAAGCGCGGGGCGGGCGGGACAATGAGAATGTCCGCCGTCTGAGCCAATAAAGCTGCACTGGTTTTGAATCGCGGCGCGTTTCCCGCCGCCGGGGTCAGGGGTCGGGGTTCGGGTCGCGGGGCGGAGGGAAGAGCGGGCGGGCGGGAGGCGTCGGCGCCAGACGCGGAGGAAGGAGCTGCGACCAGCCGCCAAGAGGCCGCGGAGCCAGCGACGACCGAGCCAGCCGAGCCGCCGCCGCCGCGCCCCCATGGCGGCCGCCAAGGTGCGGCCGGGCCCGGGCGGGGATGGGTGGCCGGAGGGCCGAGGCCGTTATCGGGGGCCACGTGGGCGGCCCGCGCCGGCGCCGCCAACCCCCGCTGGCCTGCGAGCTCAGCGCCTGCGGGCCTGCGCGGCGCGGGTCGGGCTGCGGGCAGCCGGCCTGGGACTCGAGGCCTCCGGGGCCGGCGCGCGGGGTTCGGGGCGGCGGGGCCCCGCGTGACCTTGGGGCGGCCCGTGAGCCCGGAGTCCCACCGGGACGTGGGGCCCCCGCGCCGCTCGGTCTCGCGTTCACTTCGCCGCTCGCCGGGGACGCGAACGAGGGGCCGGTTTTCTCGGGCTCGGCCCACTGGCAGGCTTCCCTCCGGTCCGTCGCTCACGCAGCGCTTCATTCATTCTGTTCTCGTGTCTCGAGCCGCCACAGGCCTCTGCGGCGGGAGCTGGTTCCGGCCGGGTGGACCGGTCCTGGACGCACGGACCAGGGCGGGGGCGGCTCCGTGGGTTGCGGTGCCTGCCTGGGTGAGCTCGCGCGGCAGAACCGCAGTGCCGTCCCACCGAGCAAAGCGGCGAAGGCTCAGATTTTCTTTTTCGGCTTGAGTTTGGTAGTGAAGTCTCCAGATTTCTCTTGGACTTGCAGATCCCCAAGCCACGTGTTCTGTAAGACTCAACCCACGATATCCTTTGTGCCTCATAGCTATCTTAGCTGGATCGCAGTGTTAGGGCTCTTATTATGCGATTTCTTTTGACTTACCAACTTACCAGCTTCCGGAACCGAGACGAAACGGCTGATAAACCTGTGAATTCTGTGTAAATCACAGCAGTCCCATAACAACTTTTTTTTTTTCTAGTAAGCAAGAGCACAGTTTTTTCTCAACCAGGAAGAAGTCAAAGGGTTGCTCTTTGTTTTAAGGGTAACACTCCTTGAAGCTCTTTTCGACTTATCTGTCTTTTAATCTTCACTGGGCAGTAGCATCATATGTGTTTTACAGAGGAGGAAACTGAGGCTCAAAAAGATGGGGCAGTTTTCTCCAGGCCACTGGGCCAGGAGGTGGCTGAGTTTTAGGAGCCCCAGCCGGTCTGCACAGATGCGATTGATGCCTCGGGGGTGGGTGCTGAGGTCCAGTGTCTCCCTTTGTGCTGGGGGGACATGCAGACCTTTCCTAGTGTGGAAGCCTTCAGGCTTAAGTTCTTCCTTTCGAGTGAGGCCGTTTACTAGCAGGGATGCACTGGTGAGGCCTGGTTGGGGTCACGTTCACAGCTAGCACACTCACCTCCACACCTTCCTCCACAGGACACCCATGAGGACCACGATACCTCCACCGAGAATGCAGATGAGTCCAACCATGACCCCCAGTTTGAGCCCATAGTTTCTCTTCCTGAGCAAGAAATTAAGACGCTGGAAGAAGATGAAGAGGAGCTTTTTAAAATGTAAGTAAGCTGATGTTGCTCCAGAAATAGTTATCTTTAGTGTAAGACTGAGGTTACGGGTTTTTTGGGGTGTTAAGGTCTTGGTCGGACCTTTACTCAGACTGAGGCTGAAGAAAGGGCCTGGAATTGTGTGATGACTAGTCCCTCATGGAAATCAAGGCTGCTGAGAGTCCACTTGTTCATTAACTCTCTTGGGTGCCCCTGCTGCCTGGTGGCCAGTGCTGTGAAGGGCACAGTCGCTCCCTGGTATCCTGTCACTGCTGCACTGTACACAAGGGTGCGTCTCCTCAGCACCCTGCTCCCGTCTTTGCCACCCTCACCTCTAAGACTCCCATAGCCCCCTTCATCTGATTGAGGGAGGAGTATCTACAGTTGTTGTTATTTTCCCACCATGGACTTAGCTGTCTGAAGCTTGTGAGTCCCTGACTCAGTGTTTGGATTGCACAAAATCACGCTTGGAGTTACAAGTGAAAGTGGGTGCTGTTAGAGTTGAGATTAGTTATTAAAAATTACTCTCCACACGGGGCCAGCCCCGTGGCCGAGAGGTTGGGTTTGTGCGCTCCGCTTCGGCGGCCCGGGGTTTACAGGTTTGGATCCCGGGTGCGGACATGGCACTGCCCGTCAGGCCATGCTGAGGCGGCGTCGCACATAAAATAAAGAAAGATGGGTGCAGATGTCGGCTCAGGGCCAGTCTTTCTCAGCAACAACAACATAGTTACTGTCCACGCGCTTCTGGAGCTTCGGTGGGGAGCTGCAGCGGCAGAGGTCGTTGAGAGGCAGTGCTGGCACCGCCGGGTCAAGATGTCCCAATGGTCACAGCACTGCCAAGAGTGGCCTGTTGCCTCCGCTCAGAATTGCAGCACGTTGTAGGCTCAGTTACACGTTAATGGCAGTAAACACTGGTGTGTTCCCTGGCCGAGCTCGTGGAACTCCCCTGCTCCCCTCCCTGTGCCGTCCAAGACACCAGGTTAACATTTGAGTGCTTTGCTGTAGATGTGGGGCCATCACCGCTGCTGCGACCCCTAAGGAGGGGGGCCGGGGGGGCCTGCACGCCCCGTTGGTCTCCCAGGGTGGGGGGCATTTCTCTGAGGTCTGGCGCCTCCCGGGGGTGAGGACTGCTAGCGGTGCTATTGCTGCCCCCTCCCTGCTCTCCCTGGTGTCCTAGACCTGGGCCCTTCCTGAGGGAAGTGAGGTCTGCAGGGTGGGCCTCTGCATCAGGGCCCTCAGGCTCCAGTCAGCCCTGAGGGCGTCTCACTCCACGGGGTTGAGTTTGGGAGAGAGCAGTCTTCTGCGGAAAGGGACCTGTGAGCTGCGGGGAGGCAGAGGGCAGGTGTGAGGGGGAGAGGAGGGCGTCGCCCCAGCCCGCTGCTTGTTGCTGGGGCCTTGGTGCCTGGTGAGGTGGGGCCTCGCCTGGGCCCGTGAGGGGCTACCCTGGGCAGGAGGCAGGGGTCGGACCAGGGCCTGGTGGCCTGAGCAGAGGCCTGCAGCCTCCTCTCTGGGTGGGGGCCGGGGAGCACAGGGTGCATCTGGAAGCTGAGAGAAGGGCTGGCCCTGTGGGGCACGGGTCCTCAGCCTCACCTGCTTCCCCTGTGGCCCTCTGGGCACGGGACTGCCCCTGCTTGGTGGCCGCAGACACGCCCAGCGTACTCAGGTGGGCTGCTTTGCTGAGAGGTTGGGTCTTTCTGTTGGAAAATGCTGTGACTGTAGAAATCTGTTATCTTTTTTATCGTGAAGTAAAAACCTGGAGTTCATTGGGCTGTTTTGCCCTTTTGGTGGCGTTTGACTTGTAGTCCTGGCGGTACAAAAAGGGAAAGGGTGTGTGGAGACGTCACACATAGCCATCTGTGTGATACACAGAAAACGCGTGCTCTTCCCAAGGACACGTTTGACTGACTCGTTCCCGTTTCTCTGCACATCTAAGCTCTCGCTTAACGGCTTTTCTTGAAGGCGGGCAAAGCTATTCCGATTTGCTTCAGAGAATGATCTCCCAGAATGGAAGGAACGAGGCACTGGTGACGTCAAGCTCCTGAAGCATAAGGAGAAAGGGACCATCCGTCTTCTCATGAGGAGGGACAAGACCCTGAAGATCTGTGCCAACCACTACAGTAGGTGGCCGCCGGGCCTGGGTTTGCTCCGAGCCCAGCGCTCTGCAGTGGGCAGGAGGCTTCCAGGGCTGCGCTCCCAGCCTGGGAGCACACTGTTACATGGAGTGCACGGTCGTGGTGTGGTTTTTTTTATTTAAAATAGGAAATGAGTTTTTCCAGTTCCCTCTGAGCCCAGAGCAGACCTACAGGGAAGGTTATAGCACGCAGGGGTGTGGAGTCTGGGCAGACAGGACCTGACAGGATGGACACAGCCCCCCAGCGTGGGCTTGGGACCGTGCTGTGCCTGCTTGAGGACCAGGCGGGGCGTGCGTGCACATGTGTGCCAGGTGCCTGGGAGGGAGAAGGTGGCTGCTTGTGAAGGTCATCCTTAGGTGCCTGTGGAACTGCACAGGGAGTGGGTGGTGGCAGGTGGAGGCCCTTGGTCAGGTGTGATGTAGGGTCCAGGAAAAGCCACACAAAGCCTGGCCTGTGAAGAGGTGACAGTAAGTACCCTGCCACAGGAGATGTCTGTCTCCCGGCTGTTGGGCTCTTCTGCAGTGCTGTGAGCGTGTTGAGAAACAGCTGTGTTCTGGGCTCCCTGTCCAGTGTCTGTATTTCTGGGTGGAAGGTGAGGGGGATGCAGAAGGGTCGGGGAGGGGCCTCTGCACCAGGCCCCACGTCGCAGCCTGGCTGGCTGCCTGGGAGCAGCTCCTGCAGTGCTCTCGCCCTCTACCTGGCCTGTCTGCTCTGGCCTGGTCTTTGTCTTTCCAGCCCCTCGGAATCGTTTCCTCGGGGTCTTCCTGACACCCGTGCTTCTCCCAGACCCTTGCAGGTCACTGTGTTGTTGCTGAGTCGTAAGTGGGTCACAGACGCTCGATGGACAGGGTGGGTGGTGGCGGGAAGGGGCCGGGGCACCTTTGTGTGCCCTGTACAGCACGCGGCCTCACCAGGACTGCTCCAAGTTCAGATGTGATGTGTGCCCCAGGCTGGGCATGGGCCGTCCCATGTCCCCAGAGACCTCTGCCCCAGGCGCATAGGCAGATGTGGTTCTGGGGATACTTGTGTTGTTAGGGAGCCTATCTCCTTCGTTCCCCTTGGGTCTGCCTGGAGCCTGAGGACATGGGGAGTTGGTGCTCATTCCAGGCCATGTTTCTGTCTTCTATGATGCACGAGCAAGTCACGAGCAGTGTCCACTTCTGGTGTCCTCATCCCCCGAGGTCTCCTTGGACAGTGCAAGGCTAAGAATGGTTGCCCTCCTGGGTAGTCACCCCCCTTCAGGCTTCGGCCTTCCACTGCCCCCACCTTGCCATGGGCTGGGGCCCCGATGGTGTGGCTGAGCGTGGACACAGCCGTCAGGTGGGCGCCCTCCGCAGGAAAGGCAAGGCCTGCTTAGCTGGGTCCCCTGCGTGTCCTGGGCCTGGGGGCTGCTCTAGCAGGGGCAGGACCAAGGGGTTGGGTATGAGTGGCCATGTTGGCCTTGGAATCCTTGTCCAGTGGGGTTGGAGAGCCTTGCTATGGTGTCCTCGTGGTCCGGGAGCCAGCCACCCTGCTCCCCAATTTAGGACGGTCCTGGTTTTAAGTGAACATGAGTGTTTTCAAAGAGGACTGGGTAAAATCTGTGTCCCAGAGGACTTTGTCTAGCCCTAGTTTGTGAACCCCAAATCATCCTTGTTTTGCCCAAAGGGGAACCTTGGGTTGGTGACTAGGGCCCCCTTGTGGGGCAGCTGGGGGTGGGTGGGCTGGCCTCCTGGCAGTTGGCACCACCCTCACAGAGCTTCTTCCCCCAGTCACGCCGATGATGGAGCTGAAGCCGAATGCGGGCAGTGACCGTGCCTGGGTCTGGAACACCCACGCCGACTTTGCCGACGAGTGCCCCAAGCCGGAGCTGCTGGCCATCCGCTTCCTAAACGCCGAGAGTAAGTCGAAGGGCGGCAGGCTGTCGGGGCCTGGCCTGCCTGGCCGCCTGCGTTATAGCGTAGTGGTTTAACTGCAAACAGAAATGATGTTGCTCTTCCAGGAGAGGTGACGTAATGGGGGCGTGTGGTAGGGACTGTCTCTGTCCCGCAGTCTGGTGGCCCCTGAGGAAGGGATCAAGGTCCTGTCGAGCCACATACCTGTGGGGCCGCACCTGGACTTTGAGGTCACGAGCAGTGTATTTCCCCTCTTAACCCCAGGGGACTGTGCCAGCTGGTCTGCCCAGGGCAGGCATGTCCCCTTACAGTCACCTGAATGCCAGCAGAGCCTGTGCTGAGATCCACAGGCCCAGGCTGACCTCTCCCCTGCTTGGGCATCTCTCCAGTCCAGATTGTCAAAAGCTAGAGCCAGTGTGCCCTGGAGGAGTTGGGTGGGTGCCGGGGCTCGGAACCCAGTAGCTGACCGTTGGTGCTGAGCGAGCCTCACCTCTGCATTGGGGCGGGGCCTGTCTAGGCTACTCCACCACGAGTTGGCAGCAGTGCCTGGTGAGGATGCCCTGCCCCTGGGTGGCCTGAGGCCATGGTGCTCTGTGCTGCTCTGCCCACCTTGTCACAGAGTCAGATGGGGAGGGAGGTGGCCCGGCACAGCACCAGCTTCGGGAGGGACTCGGGACACTGTACCATCCAGGCAAAAGCAAGCCCACAGCCGTGTCAGATGGCCTAGCTCAGCCTCGGGTCAGAAATGGCCGTGGGATGGGCGCTTTGTGAATCCTGGCTCTTTAGAGCCACCAGGACGTGTTTCTCTCACTGCTCAGGCTCTTAAGAAGTCTCCTCTTTTCTTTCTGTAGATGCACAGAAATTCAAAACAAAGTTTGAAGAATGCAGGAAAGAGATCGAAGAGAGAGAAAAGAAAGGTGATGTGGCACCTCCGGTGGGGCTTCCCCGCAGACTCACTCTGCACCTGGCTGCAGCCCCAGGCGGGTGCTTTTTCTGTCTGCCACAGAAACGTTCCAGGGTGCTGTGACCACCTTGACCTGTCAAGGGCGATGCAGCTGCCTGGGGACATGGAGAGCTCTGGGGAGTGAGCTGGCCGTGGGGTCCTGAGCACGTGCTCTCTGGCCTGGGCTCATGGCACTTGGGCAAGCAGGTCACGGCATCTGACTAGAGCCCAGCAGAGGCTGAAGGGGCTTCGAGATGTCCTTGTGGTCACCTGCCTACTTGGGGCCCGATGATGGCTTCTGTAGCAAGTGACGAGATGTCACTGAGCAGCCTGACCAGGGTCACAGGCATGAGCACGTGGTTGTTGGGGTCACCCTGGAGTCCATCTTGGTGGCATAGGGTGGAGAAGCAGGCTGTCCTATGGGGCGTGTGTCCCAGGGCTGCGTGCGGGCTGGGGAGAGTGGTGCTTCTGTTTTCTTACTGTGTCTCCCTGTGTTTGAGCAGGATCGGGCAAAAACGATAACGCCGAGAAAGTGGCTGAGAAGTTAGAAGCTCTTTCGGTGAAGGAGGAGAGCAGAGAGCAGGCCGAGGAGAAGCAATAAGCTGTCTGCCCTGTCTTCTTTCCCTTCCTTTCTTTCCCTTTCCTTTCTTTTTTTTAATTTTGCCCCGCCCTTTTTTGTTTTTTTATTCTGTTTTGTTTTTACAAGGGACTTTATATAAAGAACTGAATTCCAGCATTCAGGTTGTTTTTTCTAAGTTTTTACCCTGTGAAGTTGACTTCAGAAAATCCATTCCCAGTCATGAAGATGTGCTGTGCTAACTTTCTTTTCCATAGTGGAAACACTTATTTATAGTCGTCAAGATAGTGAATAAACGACACGTTTGAAACCTGCACGGAGGGCAGGACCGTGTGTGCGCCGGCCCTGTCCGGGGAGCAGTGTGGGCTCCTGCAGGCCCACCACTGCCACTTGCGCTCTGCCGGGGGCTTTGGGCTGCTGTTGGCCACTGGGGACGTGGCGTGTCTGAGCCAGGGCTGGTGTGGGGCTGGTCGGTCAGGGAGGCGGCGCTGGGTGCTCTGCCTCCTGAAGGCTCCTGTGCTGCTGCCCTGTGGCTGGGAGTAGGTAGCTTTTCTTCTTTTGGCCTTTCAGGGAGAGAAACGACCACCAGAGTGCCTTGGCTTCGCACTGGGAGGCCAAGCAGGCCTCCAGGCTTTGGCCGAGGCTGTCTGGGCTGTCCCAGCTGTGGTTGGCCAGGATGGCCCTCAGCCCTGGCAGAGGGAAAGGCCAGTCCCAGAGCACGCGTGTCCAGTCTGCCGCAGTGCATAGGTGGGGCTCGCCCCTGCGGCCCTCATTAGATAGCCCACTGCCATCGTGGGAGGGAACCGTCTGTCCGCTTGCTCCCAGCATCTCCATCGGGGGGGCGTTGTGGGTATCTCCAAGAACTTTAAATGAAAGGATGTTTTCAAGAATCAGATGGTTAGCGTCATTTGAGGGTTTGTCTTATAGAAAGGTGGTGTGTGTAGACGTCATTCTAAGGGGAGGATTTTCAGTGTACTGGGAGACTAAAGTGCACGGTCCCACCCATGATAGCATGTGTCCCAGGGAGACCACCGGGGCTCTGAGGAGCGGTGGCTACCCTGCCCTCCAGCAGGGAGCAGCAAGTGAGGACCTGACTCTAGAGTGGACACCCTGGATTCTCTGGCTGTTCGCCATTAACACGTACCAGAGGTGCTTTACGGTGTGGCCTGAGTCGTGACTAGCTGGGCTGTTCCTCTGACCTCCCTGTCTACCCTTACGTTCTGTGACCTGTGTCCGACTTAAACCTTGTGTTCTTGGTCCCCCTGGGGGATGCTCGTCCAAAGGAAGTCACTCTTGTTTTAAAAGCCAAATGGAAGACTTAGTTTGGCAGCCTTAGCCCTTGGGGGGCATGGGTCTCCTCTGGTGCTCTCAAGGAAGTGGGCACAGTGGTCCTCCTGCCCAGAGAGGGACATTGGAGCTTGTGCACCTCGTCCGTCTTGCATTGGAATTGTGGCGCTCTAAGTGGTGGAGGCTGCTTCCCTCGGGGCTTGTTGGATGCACTGATGTGGAAGGCTCCCCCCAGGGCTTGACCCTCCTGGAGGGAAGGACGTCAGACTCCCCTTTCAGCACATAGTGGGTGGTTAACATTCTGTCTTTGCTTTAGACTCCAATATGAAATAAATGCCACTTGATGTAAAACCCCAGGCTGACCTCCTCCTCCTTGGGTGAGGTGATGTGTCCAAGCGAGAAGGCCCTTAGAGTGGCTGGGGGCAGAGCCACGCTGTGACCAATGTGCATTTAAAGATGGGGCTTGTTGACAGTGCAGCACAGCGGGCCCCGCTGGGGTGAGCAAGGGTGTCAGCAGGGTTCCTCTGAGCCCCGAGCCAGTGCATTTTCTGGTGGTGGGCTCCCTGTGGCACAGAAGTGATGGTGAGCCAGAAGTGAGGTGCTGATGGTCTTGAGGAAGGACCTTTCCATTCCTGCAGGTTGGAGAAGCTGTGCTCCCCTTTCCTGGGACCTTAACTCCCTGGGAGAGGGTGCCCGGGCTAAGGCTTAGCAGCAACGTTGGTGCTGAGGCCTCCTGTGGCCTCTCTGGGCGCACCTCACCTGAGACCCACTCTACCAGGCAGTCTGCAGGGACTTAAGGAGGAAGCGCAAGTACCTGTCTTCCATGACCAGTATTTGGCACTCTCTCTATGGCTCTCAGCCATCCTGGTGCCCCGACCCAGAGCACAGGCCGAGTCAGGCCCGGTCCCAGGGCTCAGTACAGTGGGGAGCCTGCTGGGAGGAGCTGGGACGTGGGCCTGTGGCCTCGGTGTGCTGGGCTGCAGAAGGGCAATAGCAAGGGCAAGCCCTGTTCATGTGCGAGGCACCTGCACCTTGTGTCCGCAGGCTCCAAGGCGCCCTGAGGGCTGCAGCAGCTCAGGCCCGAGGTTAAGGAGGTGTCTGCTCCACGTGGAGTCTGCTCTTTGCTTATCTTTGCACCCTGAATCCTCTCTGGTGTCCCACACCTCCCCCTGGTGTTAGGGCCCCTTTCGTGTGCTGGGCCTCCTAGAGTGGACACCTGCGGGGCAGAGGCTACAACTAGGGTGTTGTGGGAGAAAGCCCATCATCATATCTGCTGTCAAGCAGCCACATTAACGTCCTGGTCCCGGCTCCCGTCCTGGGTTCCTTAACAGCAGCTCACAGCCCGCAGCCTGCAGAGCTGGGGCAGAGCCTTCCAAAGGCCTATGTCAGGGCAAGGAGGGGCCCCCGGGCCAGGAGGCGCAGGGCCTGCAGTGGTGGTCCGTGCCACACAGGGTTCTGGCCACAGAGGAGCAGATGCCTGGGGTGGCAGGGCGAGGACCCCACGTGGATCCCCACGCTGGGTGGGGCTCCTGAGTCAGAGCAGAGGCGCCTGGGGACGAGTGGAGGACAGAGACACTGGCTGGTCCTCACTGGGGAGGCTGTAGAGCTTGACTGAGGTCCCACCTCCCAGAGGTGCTGTACTGGCTCCTCCGCCAAGGGAGGCCACCGCCACCGCCCAGCCAGTCCCACCCACGCCCTGGTCCACCTTAAGTGGTGGCTGCCGTGGCACCAGCGGGTGGGATTTCCTGTGGGAGGTGGGCCTGCCCAGGGGCCTATCCGGGCGGGGCAGGGTGCCTGGGCTTGCATGGGGCACTCCACCTGCCTCCAGGGGCTGCCTGGCCCTGGGTCCCCACCCACATACACTCCCAAGCCTGCGCAAGGGCCAAGACCCGGAGGACCAGCGCCCCTGCCCCTTAGCCAAGTGGCCTGAGGGCGGCGAGGTGGCAAGAGATAATGAAGGTGCCCCTACAGTGTCACACCCCCGCCCTCGTGAGTGCCCGGGGCTCCAGATGGAGGGCTCTGGCCCTGACTGGGACTAGCATGGAGCAGGGGCCATGGCCTGCCCCGCTGAGACACACTCAGAGGGGTTTAGGGAAAGGTCTGTGCAAACAGGCCCAGGAGGGGACCAACATGCCACAGCGCCAGGGCCTGGCCTTCACTAGGTGGTGGCCCAGGGGGCAAGGCCTGCAGGACTGCGACGTCTGCGTAGCTTCAGAGAACCGCGGGCGCTCGCCTGCCTGGGCACCAAGGGGAGGAGCGGCTGCCGGTCCCAGGGTTCTGATGGCTGCGCAGGATGCCGGCCGAGCTCTGCCGCGCACCGGGCCGAGGGGGCTCAGGGGCTCCAGCGCGCCGGCTGCATCCCGCCGGGAGCGGCCGCGGACCGGTGCGTGGGGCGGCCAGGCCCGGGTGCGTCCTCCGGCGTACCCGGCCCCGCGCCCCGCCGCGCCCCCCGCGCTGCTGGTCCACCTTAAGGGGCGTGCTGACATCAGCGCGCCGCCGCCGCCGCCGCCGCCCGAGGGGTGGGATTTCCTCCGCCGCCGCCGCTGCCGGGCCTGCGCTGCGTCCAGCCCGCCCCGCCCGCCCCCGGCCCGACCCCGGCCGGCCCCGCCCGCCCGGCCCCGGGGAGGGATGCGGCGGCGCGGCGCCCAGGATGCCCCGCAGCCCCGGGACGCGCCTCAAACCCGCCAAGTACATCCCGGTGGCCACGGCAGCCGCGCTGCTGGTCGGCTCCAGCACCCTGTTCTTCGTGTTCACGTGAGTCCCGCCCGTCGCCGGGGGCACAGGCAGCCATGGCCAGGCCAGAAGGGGCAGGGGCTGGGTACAGCAGTGGCTACGACCTGGTGGGACTAGGGGAAAGGGGCCAGCGGGCTGGGCAGGGCAGGGGGCACCAGAGCTGTCGGCGACATGAGCCCCCACCCTTCGCTGAGGCTGAAGTCGTGAGTGTGCCCATCCTGGGGCAGCAGGGACAGGTGAGTCCTGTGTGTGGGGACAGCAGGCACCTCAGGAGTGTGCCAGGCAGGTCCTGGTGGGGGTACTGGGCCTGGACAGGGGAGTGTGTGCAGTGGCTGCCCAGGGTGTGGCTGCAGCCCTCCCCTCCCCGCAGGCTGCATGAGGGGACGTGGGCTGCCCAGAGCTACCAGCGCTCCCTGCAAGGAGCGAGGGTGGCTCTTGGGTCCCCTCCCAGCTGTCTGGCCCTGGGCCAGAGCCATATTGTTCCCACGTAGGTGTGGCCTGGCCCGGCTGCCACGTGCCTGCCTCACAGCTGCTGGTGACGCTGGCCTGGCAGTGCCCTCCGCCCTCCCTTGACCTCCTTCTCAGAAAGGCCCAATGGTCAACAGCTGGTGGGCCCAGGCCAGGCCGCACCCACGGACACTGGCCATGGCCGGCACTGGGACCCTTGAGGCAGAGAGCAGGCAGGGCCCTGGGCCCTGGGCCCGTGCAGCCCTGGCTTCTGCACCTGAGATGCGGAGTGGTGTGTGGATGACACACTTCCTCTCCACGGTCCTGGGGGCCCCCCCAGGGCTCTTTCAGCCACAAGGAGGGGTTAGGGGCTTCAGTATGCAGATCTGTGACCACCCTCCCACACACACACAAGTCCCAGGCGGAGACACTGCCCAGGTGACCAGAGCAACTACCACTTAAGCCTTCCTGGGGACCTGAGGCCTCTGGGGTGGCCGCAGCCAGTGGGGTGTCGGTTCCAAGGCGGGTCAGCCTGAGTGTGAGTGAGCGCGGAGCAGGGGTGGGAGCAGCTGGCCTAGCACCCTTTCACCTGAGCGAGAGTGAGGGTGGCAGCCATGAGGACGACGGGGCTGACTGGGTGCCTGTGGAGACAGAGAGCGCTGCCTGGAGGCCGGGCTGGGGTGGGCGCAGCAGGCCGCCAAAAGCGTGTTTGAAAAGGGCCTGTGTGGACCGGCTTATTTCGGGCTTTGGCAAGCAGGCGTGTTCTCGTCGCTCAGATGCTGCTGGCTGTGGGGCACAGAGGAGCAGGGCGGTGGGCAGTGGGCACTGGGCAGGGGTTGAGGGGGCGTCCCGCTGGGTTTCCTGGAAGGTGGGTCCCAGCCTAGTCCTGGCCTGGGGCTGAGCCAGGATCTTAGGGGTCCCGGCCCTGCCTCCTAGCAACTTGGCCTCCACTTGCCAGGCCTGATGTCTCACTCCTCAAGTGCAACTCAGCGTTTTCCTTCTGACTTTCCAAGTAATACATGTTCTCTTTCAAGAACTTGTAAAATGCAAGAAGAAAATTTAAAGAGAAATTGAAATCAACCCCACCCCAGAGAGCCCGCCGTCTCTTCTCCTCCTAGGCTCTCCTGGGCCCCACTGGAGTGTGCTTGTTGTGAGCCCTTCCTGTGGGGTCAGAGGGCCCTTATGTAGCTGTCCTGTGAACTTGACCCACCTGCAAGTGGCAGGCACTGAGGCTGCTACATGATGCCAAGAGCCAGCTCTCCCTTCCTCTGCTCTCACAGCTGGGCTCTGGGTTCAGGGACACCCGTGCCACCAGAAGCAGGGTTCCCTGGGGGCACCTGCGTCCTGCCCTGCTGGGGACCAGTCTACCTGGGGGAAGGAGCTGTGCATGGCCCACGGCAGGGGGCTCCAGGGGCACGAGCCAGGCTTCAGGTGCAGCGACCATCTAGCCGGGGCGCCTCACTCGCTGCCTGGAACAGGGCTTCCCCACAGCCCGACCCGGAGGCCACATTCCCTGGGCTGAATGGCCACTGGGGCCCCTGGCTTGCCTCTGCCCTGGCCCTGCTGGGCTCCTTCGAGGCAGCCGGCTTCCTGAGGACAGGCTCTGCAGGGCGGCCATGCCCAGCTTGCTGATTCCGGGCAAGCAGGGGCCAGGCGGCTCCCTCCTTGCGACCAGCCTCTCGTCACCTGGACACCCACACTTCCACCCTGTTTCTGGGCCCAGGCCTGCTGCAGCCTCAGAACATGCCAGGAGGGAGCAGCCCCTCTTCTGCCCTCCACCCTGTCTGCGGGGCCCCTGACTTCTGCCTTCTCTGACTTTGCGCCTTGGACTTCACTGATCCTGAGTGGCCCCAGACCCTCTCTCTGCGCTCAGGAAACGTGAGCTGCCCGCTATGGGGCAGGTCCATTCAGGCAGTGGCTCCTGGTGTCATGCAGGGTGGAGAGCCCCAGGCCTGGAGGACCAAGGACCCCTCCTGCAGGCCAGCTCACTGAGGGGGCTGGGAGCAGCAGGACATGCCGACATGTTGCCAGGAGAGACTGGGGCGTGGGAAGGATGCCCAGAAGTGAGGGCATCCCCCTCTGAGGATGGGGAGCACACCACAGGACAGGTTCCCAGGGGCCCTCCTCCAGGAAGCCTTCCTGGGCTCCTGGTGTGGTCATGTCCCCCTGGGCCCCAGAAGCCCTTCACATTATGGCTCAGCAGCAGGCTAGGTCAGGTGCTGGGTGCAGGGCTCCCAGAGCCCCCAGGCCGGGCCTCTGCCCTTCCTCCTTCCAGAGCTACTTTGCTGACTGATGAGGACGCTGTGAACGTCAGAGGGCCGCGGCTGCTTGGTGGGATGGGACGCCTGGGGCCGGACTGAGGCGTCTCGTCTCTGCCCAGGGCCAGTGGGCTGACTTCTGGGATGTTGAGGCTGGTCCCCAGGATGAGCCCTCGCCATGCTCGGAGGCCTGGACAGGCCATAAGACCCAGCCTGGGACAGTGGGAGCTCCAGCCCAGGACCAGGCCTGCCTGTGGCAGGGCCGGGTGGACAAAGCTGCTGGCAGGGGCCGCATGGGGAGGGGGAAACTTGGTGTGTGCCCTGCCAGGACTCGCTGTGTGTGGGCTGGGATATCCCTGGCCCCTGAGCCTGTTTCCCCATCTGCTCAGCTGTCTGTAGGCATTGGATGGGTGGGTGCATGTGGCCAGAGGTCCTGCCTGGCATGATCAGGGAAGAGTGGCCACAGACCCTCTGGTCCTGGGTGCCCCCGTGTGTGAGCATCACTCTCAAACACAAACGGTGTTAATGAAGAACTTGATTTAAATGAAGACATCTGAGTTAAAGTTTTCCATCCCACGTTTAGCTGTGTTGTGCATGCTCCCCCTGCAGAACCCCCCCACCCCTGCTGGGTGGTGTCTCCCTGCCGGCCTTGACCTGGGTGGTGCCCATGGCAGTGGCCTTGACGCTGGGGAGGTGGGGGCTGTCGAGGGAGGAGGGCTTGGAGCCTCAGAGCTGGGCTGACCCCAGGCCTGCAGTGCAGCTGCAGCCAGTAGAGAGTGGCTGACCCCTGCCTGGCAGGGCAAGCCGGGAGTATATGGTCCCCTGGGTGGGTGTGGAGTGTCATCCCTGTGGGCAGAGGGGCCCTCTGAAGCCTAGGTGTGAGGTGGCCTGAGCAGTGCTGCATGTGAGGCCTGGCCCCTAGGCTTGCGTGTCTTCCATGTCTTCATGCTTGCCCGTCCACAGGGAGCATAGGGGAGTCCAGAGAGGGCGTGCAGTGGTCAGTGGGAGAAGGGACGTGTCTGCGTCTCTGTGTTCACGTGTGCATATGTCTGTGTTTGTGCATGAATGAAGGTGGAGCTATGCCTGTGTGTGTGTGTGCCAGCATGTGCACAAGTATGCATGTCTGTACACACAAATGTTCGTGTATGTGTCTTTCATGTTGACACATGTTCGCTTGTGTTTGTGCACATGTACCTTTTGTGTGTGTGGGTGTCTGTGCATGCTCGTGCACTGTGCACATGTGCATTCACACATGCATGTCTCGGAGCATGTTGGGGGTGTCTGTGTGCACTGTATATGTGTGCAAGCACTTGTCCCTGCATGTTTGTGTGGGCATGCCTGTGTGTCTGCATGTGCCTACATGTGCTCTTTCATCTTCTCTCACTTAGCCATTTCCTGAGGTAGCTGAGTTCCGGGCCCTGGCAGCATTGGCCAGTGAGCCAGTCCTATTAGGCATGATCCAGGCCCGGGCCGCCTTACGACACAGCCTGGTGGTAAAGGCCACCTGGGGGAAGTTGAGGGGACAGGAATGCATGGGAGTGCCTGATCCTGGGTCTGAGTCAAGCCTGGGGGACTGGAGACCATGGCCAGAGGGACAGTGGCTCAGGCCTGGTCAGAGAACCCGACCCTCCAAAGCCTGCCCGACACTGGTTACAGCCCCACCCACCCTCTCTAGGATGCGCGGCCCAGGCACGCAGATGGCTGTGCTCACGCTGGACAGAGGCCACCCCGTGCCTCAGTGCAAGCACGGCCCAGTCACAGTGCAGATTTCCAGATGTGGCCCCGTCGCTGCATGGCTGCTGTTCCCCCAGCCCCAGGCATCTCACCTGGGGATGCTGTCTAGCCCATGTGGCCTGTCTGTGGGGTCACTGAGGCTGAGAGAGGACAAAGCAGTACCTGCCGCCTGGGCCCGTGGGAACTCTGGTCAGGGCGGGGGGTGCTGCCCGTGGGCTTTAGTCCCTGCCTGCCTGTGAGCTGGCCCAATCCCAGCTCAGAAGCAACCTGCCCTCAGGCCGTGGGCGTGTGACAAGCCACTGATATTTGCTCTTTCTCTGTAAAATGGGGAGGTCAGAAGTACCCCGCTGCAACTGGGAGGGTGGAATGTCTGGTCCACTGTGCAGGGCTGTTGGGCAGCAGGCTAAGGGTACTCCCCAGCAAGAGCTGGACAGCAATGGCGGACGGGGCCCACCCTCCAGCCTCCCCCACATGTCCTCCTGCCTTCAGTGCCTGCCCATCTGCTGCACCCCTTGTCTGCACGTCCACCTGTCCTCAGCCGGTCCCAGCGCTCCCGGGCCCCCACAGCCCCTTCCTTTCCCAGAACAGGCTGGACAGGGCAGGGCCGTGAGGTCAGAAGTGGCCTGTGGACAGCACAGCCATGAGGACCCACATTTGCTTTGATGATCTTCTGTCAACTGCTTGAAATTCTTGACACTTTTGTAACAACGGGCCTGTGTTTTCATTTTGCGTGGGTCGTGTGGCCAGCTCTTCTCAGAAGGTGCTGTGGGGAGCTGGTTTGCAAGGCCTGAGTTGGGTCTGCAGTGCCCATGTCTCCCTGGGTCCGGAGGTGTCTGCTTCTCTCCAGGGGGTGGCTCCACCTTTGCAGAATGGCTTGGCTCAGAGGCCACAAACACACATTAAGCATCATCTGTTTGCCAGGATGGGCAGTGTGGAAGGTGTCTGCGGGTGGGCACTCGGGGCTGCCTGGGCAGGGATGGCGGAGGAAGGCCCTCCTGGCAGGTAGAGGGACCCCATGTCCTCAGGCCGTGTAGCCACCTCCACAGCGGGTCCTGGAGAAGAGGAATGGGTGGCTCCCGGCCCAGCGAGCATGCTGCCGTGGGAAGCATACTCTTTAAATAGCCTCTCGCCTTCCACTAAAAATAGGAAGTTCTGCTGCCGTGGAGGTGGGGCTGGGGCGGCAGGGCTGGCTGCTGGCCAAGGCAGGCGTGGGTGCGCCAGCATGGCCGGTGTGCGCTGGGGCGGCGGGCAGGGCCACGGGCACTGCTCACCCTGCTGGCAGCCATGACACCCTGTCCTCCTGATCGAGTCTGCTCAGGGGGATTCCCACTGGCCCCCCAAGTCTGCAGAGAGCCTGGGTGCCCCCTGCTTGTCACAGAAGCTGTGGGAGAGATGGAGAGCCTGAGGCCAGAGGAGATCCGTGGGAGGAAAGTGAGCCGACTCAGGAACCCACTGCAGGCTCAGGGCAGGGGGCCACAGGCCATGTGCCCAAGAACCACGGGTCTCCACAGAGGGGGCTCTCGTCAGGTCCCATGAGGGCTGAGGAAGACGCTTTCTGTGGCAGACCATCCACTAGGGAGGTGTGCAAGCCCCTTACGGGGAGCCAGGAGTCTGAGAAGGCTTCCTGGAAGAGGGGGCAGCCTGAGCCAAGTGCTGAGGGATGGTGAGGGGTGGTGAAGGGGTAGGGGCATCGTGCTTTTCAAGAGTCTCTGTGTTCCGCACTGCCACGTGAGGAGTAAGGTGACAAACCAAAACGAAGGGGCTGCCTGGGTGGGGATGTGCCCGGGGCCCAAACCCCGAGACTGTGCCCCTCAGGGGAGCCCCCCTTCCTTGGGGCCCCCCACGCCCCAGAGTCTCCCTGGAGAAGGGGCCCTGCCAAGCCAGGGACAGGTCTGGGTGAGGGGGAGTGGGCTCACTTCCTGTCCTGGGCTCCTGCCTCCAGTCTGCGTCCTCCCAGGGCGGGGGGCCCGGGAAAGACACTGGGCTGGGGTGGAGGAGGCGGCTTGGCTCTGGCCGCTCCTCTGAAATGCTGTGACCCCGGGCCTCCGTTGAGCATCTCTGCACCCCACTTCCCCAACTGTGAGCTGAGAGTTCTTAACAGCCAGCGGGGTGTGGCCAAGGCCAGAGTTGGCACACAGGGAGCCTGCACACTGTCACGACACGCACAGCGCCTGGTGGCTGCGCACAGGAGTGGCGGGCCTAGGGGCAGAGGCCTCCCAGGGTGCCCGTGGCAGCAGTGGCTTCCCTGACTGCCACGCTGACCACTGATGGTGGCCTCAAAGGCCCAGCGTGCACACACGTGGCCATGCCCCTGCATCCCTCGCACCCACTCACCACACCTCCAGACCCAGCTCTGGCCTGCTGTCCAACGCAGGTGCCCATGGTTGACGCGAGCTGTGTCCCCAGCCATTCCCGTCTACAATGGCATCATCTTCCTCTTTGTCCTGGCCAACTTCAGCATGGCCACCTTCATGGACCCTGGCGTCTTCCCCCGAGGTAGGGCCCTGTGCTGGGGCAGCTCATCTGCTCACTTTCACTAGAGTGTGAGTGGCTGACCTGGGAGGGCCTTAGGGGAGGGGGGTCCCGGTACCTGGGCTGGCAGATCGGGGAGAGGCTCTTCTGCCAGGGAAGTCACTTTCCTGCTGCTCCCCGGCCCCGGCTCACAGCGGATGAGGACGAGGATAAGGAGGACGACTTCCGGGCCCCCCTGTACAAGAACGTGGATGTGCGGGGCATCCAGGTCCGTATGAAGTGGTGCGCCACCTGCCACTTCTACCGCCCGCCGCGCTGCTCCCACTGCAGCGTCTGCGACAACTGCGTAGAGGTGACCGCCCTGCCCCACCCTCCCCCTGCCCCTCCCCCCCGCCTGCTGTGCGCCCTGATGTGCTGCTCCTGCCCAGGACTTCGACCACCACTGCCCCTGGGTCAACAACTGCATCGGGCGTCGCAACTACCGCTACTTCTTCCTGTTCCTGCTGTCGCTCAGTGCGCACATGGTGGGTGTCGTCGCCTTTGGCCTGGTCTACGTGCTGAACCACGCCGAGGGGCTGGGCGCTGCCCACACCACCATCACGTATCCTTGGCCTGACCACACTGACTTTGGTCCCCATGTTTTACAGGGGGAACCGAGGCTCAGAGGGGTGGTTGGCTGCTTGGGAGTCCCAGGGGGTCGTTTGCCCTTGCTGGGTGGGCAGTCTGTCCACAGGCACCTGCTTCATGTTCTTGCCCACGGCTGTTGGCCTTAACTGGCCAGCATGGCTGTCATGTGTGTGGCCGGCCTCTTCTTCATCCCCGTCATTGGCCTCACCGGCTTCCACGTGGTGCTGGTCACTCGGGGGCGCACCACCAACGAGCAGGTGCAGACCCTGAGTGGGGCCATGCGGTGATGGGGATTGGCGTGGGAGGATCCTGATGGGCCAAGAGGGCCAGGGCTGCACAGGGACCATGGCGGGGTCGGGGCAGGGCTGCAGGAGCCCTCTGTCTGTGCAGCTTCAGTGGGGGGCTCTGCCCCTGGAGACCCCAGGTGGGGTTTGGGGTATAGGGCTGTACCTGCCCTGTCCCCCTACTCACTCCCGCTTGCGGACACTGTGGCCACCAGTGACTCAGAGCCCAGAAATTCAACAGCTCCCTGCAGGGACAGGCCTGGGGTGACCTGGGTGGGGTGCCCTGGGCTGACCCTGCCCAGCCTGCCCTGAGAACCCCAGCTGTCCCTGTCTGTCCTCCTGCCCACCTTGGCCTGGACCCTGGGTGGCCAAGTCGGCTGAAGGGTCCCGTGTCCACAGGTGACGGGCAAGTTCCGAGGGGGCGTGAATCCTTTCACCCGAGGCTGCTGTGGGAACGTGGAACATGTGCTGTGCAGCCCCCTGGCGCCCCGGTGAGGCTTGGGCGGGGCTCAGGGTTGGCAGCTGCAGATCCTCAGCTTGGTCCACCTCTGCCCTCGGCAGGTGAGGCCAGCAGGGTGGCCCTGGCCACTGACCCCCCTGCTCCGGATGCAGGTACGTAGCAGAGCCGCCCCGGCTGCCGCTTGGCGCGCGCCTGAAACCACCCTTCCTTCGGCCCGAGCTCCTGGAGCGAGCCGCACCGCTCAAGGTCAAACTTAGCGACAACGGGCTGAAGGCCAGCCTGGGCCGCAGCAAGGTGGGGCCCTGGGGTGGGGTGTGGGATGCGGTGAGGGTCAGACCGCTGGAGACGGGGAGCAGGCAGGTCGGAGGGGCCTAGAAGGGAGGGACTGGAAAGATCCCCAGGATTCTCCAGATGAAGTCCCCGGTTAAGCCCCGCCCCTCGCCCGCACCCTCCCCACCACTGACCACGCCCCCTCCCAGTCCAAGGGCAGCCTGGACCGGCTGGATGAGAAGCCACTGGACCTGGGGCCGCCGCTGCCCCCCAAGGCGGACGCCAGCACATTCAGCGGCGACCGGCAGACCCCACGCCCAGGCAGTGCTGGTGAGGTGGGGGCGGCCAAGCGGGGTGAGGGGCACGGACTGACCGCAGCCTGACCGAGGTCCATCACCCCCAGAGAGTGCCCTGTCGGCGCAGAGGACCAGCCCCCCGACACCAGCCATGTACAAGTTCCGGCCCGCCTTTCCCACGGGTCCCAAGGCGCCCTTCTGCGGGCCCAGTGAGCAGGTGAGGCCTGGGCCCGCCCCGGGAAGCCCCGCCCCGCCCCGGGAGGCCCCACCCCCAGAGGCCCTGCCCCGGGACGCCCCTCCCCCAGGGGCCTTGCCCCTGGGGCTCTGTCCCAGAGAACCCGGTGAGGGCGTTGGTGGCATTGCCGCTGACCGGGTAGGGGCTGCCCCCAGGATGCCTGGGATTCCACCATTACTCCCTCGGCAAGGCCCAGAAGGCTCCAGAAGAATCTGAGATTGTTTGAGAAAGCTCGTTTATTTTCCCTGAGTTGTATGAGCTCTCTGTTCACTGTGGAGCCGTTGGCAGCCTGGACAGCCTGACGAGTGATCCAGAGCCCTGAGCATGCCCCAGCTGCCCCCTCCTCCACAGCCCCCTCAGAGGCAGGCCTGCAGCTGGGCCAGCACACCTAGACCGGGGAGCTCCTCCCCCACGACAGATGTCCTGTGCCACCTGGCCTCTTTGGCTGCTGGGCCGGGCAGTGAGTCTGGGCTTTCCTGGCCCCAAGAGGAGTGTCCATTAGCCCTTCTTGGGGATGGGGGTGCTTTAGGTGCCATCGCCCAGGTTGCCTCCTTCCTGGGATCATCCTGGATCCCATGGAGGGTCCTGCTGGTTGGCCAAGTGCCCTGAGGCCACATTTGTCCTCATCCACATCCCCTCTGGGTTTTGACGTTCTGCAGGCTCTTGTCCCCAGACCAAACCCATATGCCTCAATCATGGAGATCTGTTGTGGTGGCTGCCCCTGGGCTGGGCGGGCTCTAAAGGCACTTCCCTGGGCATCTGCAGCTGCCAGCTCTGCCCTTGCACTGCAGCACCCCTGACCCTCAGCCGTGGGGTGCCTGGGAAAGCACCCTGGGTCGTTGTGTGGTTATTACGTCTCCTCGAGGTACTCCTCCCAAGGCTGCACCCCCAGCCCCTTTCTCCCCACTGGGGGACTGCCAGCAGGGGTAGAATGTACAGCCTTCCGTGGGTCGACATCGTCTGGGCGCTCTGCTCCATCCTGTCCCCACTTCCTTCTGTGATGGGCAAGGAAGAGGTAGTCAGGAAATAGCTTCTGGGGACAGCTGGGTGGTTGCAGCTGCCACCGCCTTTGATGTCTGCAGGATCGCAGTCTCCACGTGGGCACCGAGCACCTGGTGGTGGGCAGGGCATGACGAGTGGGCAGCGTAGACATGTCCCCTCTGTCCGCCAGGTCCCTGGGCCTGACTCCCTGACGCTGGGAGAAGACAGCATCCACAGCCTGGACTTCGCGTCCGAGCCCAGCCTGGACCTCCCCGACTATGCTCCTGGTGGCCTGCATGCGGCCTACCCACCATCCCCGCCTCTCAGTGCCGCCGACACCTTCGCCGGCGCCTTGCGCTCCCTGAGCCTCAAGGCTGCGAGCCGGCGGGGGGGGGACCATGTGGCCCTGCAGCCCCTGCGTTCTGAGGGTGGGCCCCCCACACCCCACCGCAGCATCTTTGCCCCCCACGCACTGCCCAACCGCAATGGCAGCCTGTCCTATGACAGTCTGCTTAACCCCGGCTCACCTGGCAGCCACACGTGCCCGGCCCACCCCTTGGCTGGTGTGGCTGGCTACCGCTCACCCTACCTGCACCCGGGGGTGGTGAGCGACCCCCCGCGGCCCCCGCCCCGCAGCTTCAGCCCCGTGCTGGGCCCTCGGCCACGGGAGCCCTCGCCCGTGCGCTACGACAACCTGTCCAGGACCATCATGGCCTCCATCCAGGAGCGCAAGGACAGGGAGGAGCGGGAGCGGCTGCTGCGCTCTCAGGCCGACTCGCTCTTCGGCGACTCAGGCGTCTATGATGCGCCCAGCTCCTACAGCCTGCAGCAGGCCAGCGTGCTGCCCGAGGGCTCCCGTGGCCCCGCGCGGCGCTGCGGCTCCAGAGATGACCTGGTGGCTGGGCCTGGCTTTGGTGGTGCCCGCAACCCTGCACTGCAGACGTCGCTGTCCTCACTGTCAAGCGCTGTGAGCCGGGCTCCTCGGACCTCATCGTCCTCCCTGCAGGCTGACGTGGCCAACAACAACGCCCCAGGGCCCCGGCCAGGCAGCGGCTCACATAGGTCGCCAGTGCGCCAAGGCCCGCCCTCCCCACCCAGCACTCCTCGCTCACCCTCCTTCGCTGGCCCCAAGGCTGTCGCCTTCATCCACACGGACCTCCCGGAACCACCGCCCTCACTGGCCGTGCAGAGGTGGGTGCTGGGGTGCAGGGGCTTCCCGGCCCAGGGCAGGTGTCCAGCCGCCTATGGGGCCTCTTGGCTGAGCACCTGTGGGTTGTCCACGAGGCCTGTGGCTGCCTAGGAGGAGCAGCTTCACCTGCCTTGGAGGCTCCTGGCTGGCCCGTGTGAGGGTAGCCCAGCTCCAAGGACACCCGGCACATCCCAGGACGGGGAGGCAGGAGGATTTGCTTCTTGAGCCCAACACCCCACATTTCCTTGGCTCACACAGACTGGGTGCATGGGGGACCCAGGGCTTCTTTTTATGGGGTGATGCCACTGTCCCTGTCCAGGAGGCTGAGTCTGGGTGACATCGCCCTGCAGCAGAATGTGCCACCCTGGGGGCCGCAGCCCTGGCCCTCTGTGGGGCACACAACCCAGGGAAGCAAGGGCTGCCCTGCTCATAGATGGGAAAACCGAGGTCTGGAGGAAGCAGGTTGGTCCTAGGCCCCCAGCGGGTGGGTAACAGGATGCTGGGCTGGCTGCCTCTCAGGGCCAGGTCCAAGTACAAGAGCTGAGCACCTGCTGTGTGCAGGGCCCCACCCTGGGCGCATTAGTGTCATCAGGGCATCACCCCGGCTACCGAGCACAGGCTTGGTCCTGGGGGTAGGGTGCTGTTGTGGGTGTGAGGGCGGGGCCTGAGGCCCAGCAGGTGGCAGCTGTGCAGTGGTGAAGCAGAGACAGCCACCGAGAGTGGGAGGGGCTCCTGCCCTGTGAATGTTTGCACAGTGAAGTCAGAGATGCACTTGGTCAGTGCTAGGCAGCCGGAGGGCAGAGGGCAACCCCACGTTTTCCTCAGAGGGAGCAGGATCCCGTTACCACTGGGCTCCCCAGGTTCAGGCACTAGAACAGGGCCGGGCCTGGGGGCTCGGCTGGCTAGCGTCCACCTCGCCTCCCTATGCAATGGTCTGTGCTAGTGGGAGGTGCCAAAGGACCAGGAAGGGGGATGATGGCCATTCTGATGTCTGTCTGTCTGTCCTGTGACAGCACAGCACCTCCCTCGGCAGGCTCTGCATCCCCACCCATTTTCTGGGCAGGACCTTCCGAGCTCAGAGGGTGGGGCTGCCGAGGGCTCTGTTGCGTCTGCGTTATCTGTCCTGTTGCCTCTGCTGGCCCATTCTGCCGTGGTCCCGTGTTCACTGTGTGCGTGCGTGTGTGTGCTTGTTTTGATGCAGGGACCACCCTCAGCTGAAGACCCCCCCAAGTAAGCTTAATGGGCAGTCCCCAGGCCTGGCCCGCCTGGGGCCTGCTGCCGGCCCCCCGGGGCCCTCCGCCAGTCCTGCCCGGCACACGCTCGTTAAGAAGGTGTCCGGCGTGGGTGGGACCACGTACGAGATCTCGGTGTGAGGACTGACCAGCACCCATCTGCTGGGGCACCACGGGGACCAGGACCCCCCAGCGGCTGCCCCCCTCCCGACTCCTCTGCCCCAGGAGCGGAGGCCCAGGCTTCGTGTGGACACATCAGCGGGAGAGAGAACTACGCCTCCACGAGCCTGTCCCTCGCCCTCCACCCATCCGTCCACCCATCTGCTCACCAGGGCACGACTGGGCTGAGGGCCACCGGGCTGCAGGATCTGTGTGTCAGTGGCCCCGCCCCATGGGTGAGGCAGTGAGGGGGTGCAGTCTGCAGCTGCACAGCCTGCACCTGTGCCCCCCGAGGTTGTCACCAGGCCAGTCCCTACCACTCCCCTTACACACGGGTCCCTATGGCCCAGAGATGGACAGAGGGACCTGGGCCCATCCTCCTGGACCAAGGGCCCCACTGCCCGGCTGCTCCTAACCGGTTGCCTTTCAGGGACCCGCAGAAGTTTGTAGCTTGACAAGGCCAGTTCTTCTGTGGGGAGTCCAGCCCCCAGCCCACTAGCACCCAGCTCTGAGGTTGCTCTGGGTTCTGACAGACAGGTGGACGGACAGACGGACAGCCAGCTATGGGTGGGGTCTGGGCTCCGTGTGTCCCGTCTCGCCCAGCTGGTGGGCGCGTCCCCGTGTCTGTGCGCTGAGCTGCCGTGCCTCGTCCCCTGTGTTAATGCTCGGGCCCCCCTGCCCCCCTGCCGGGAAACCCGCTTTCATTGAAGCCTTAACCTCTGCTTTATGCTCTTGTGGGAGGCGACAGGGGCAGGTGGGAGCAGACCGGGCCGGACGCTGCCAGGGGGGCCCATGAGACCAGGAGCCCCCTCCCTGCCCACCTGGAGATTCCCCACCCCAAGGCATGCAAATCCGGGCTGCCGAGCCTCGGCGCCTGCGTGGGAAGCACACTGGGGAGGGGTCGGAGTTTCACCTGGCACCAGGGACCTGGGAGTAAGCACACGGCAGCGTCCGCTTGCGTTGTGTCTGTTTTATGTTTTTATATCTACATCTATATATATATATATAATTTTATTAAAAAAAGAAAAAGAGTCACTTTGATTCTTTCCTTGAGCAAGGCCAGGCTATTGCTGCAATGTGGGGGCTCCGGGGGCGGGGGCCAGCGGGTCAGGCTCTGGGAGAGGCGCTGGCTGGCAGCCTGGGTTCGGATGTTCCGAGTGGGCATTTCTGCTGACTTAAGCCGAGCTGGGGCCCTGGGAAGTGGGGGCTGAAAAGCATGAGGTTCCCTTGGGTCCATGTCATCCCTAGCCGTTAACGGGTCATTTGGAGAAAGGCTGGGGTCGCAGCCACCCCAGGGGACCCCTGGGAACCCAAGGGCTAGGAGGAGGTGGAATGGGGGTGCATACGGGGCCGCCCATTGCTTTGCAAAGCTGAGACAGCCTGGGCAGAGCTGGGGGCTGGCCCAGTGTGGGAGGGACCTGGCCTGGCCCACACTGGGCAGTTCTGCTCCACGCTGACCCCCACCTTTCTGCTTCTCTCTCACGGGATGCTGCGGCCCGCAGGGGGCGGATCGGCACCTGCAGCCGTGGATGGGGGTGGCGTGGCCAGTCCAGGGTGCCCCCCGGCCTGCACCTGTGCCACCTTGGCCTCCCTGAGGACCACTCGACGCTGCGGGCCCCCTGGAGCCCGGCTGCTGGGGCTGTTTGCCGCCCGCACTCGGCCGCCTCCAGCCTTTTCCCTGGCCTCTTGGGGCCTGAGCGGGACGCCAAGTAGGCAGCTCTGGGGCCCAGGACAACCTAGCCCTAGGAGCCAGGCTGCCACGGACCCTGGACCTGGGCTGGGGGTCCCCTCTCCACCAGCCACACCTTGACCGACTCCCAGCCCACCGGGGCCCGTGACCCTGTGCCCACCCACCTCAGGAAGTCCCCACCTACCGCAGGCTGTCCAACACCCCAGGCGGGGGCCCTGGAGCTGTTGGGACCAGCACAGCCTTCCCGGGGTGTCATGCCATCACCCCAACTTCCCTGTCTGACCAAGCACTTTAGATGCCACTTCCTCCCCAGGGAGCCCAGGCCTCTATGGGTTGGGCTGGGGTGGGGGTCTCAGGTTGCCCCCGCAGGTCACTGCACTCCCTCCTCCCTGCACCTGACACATGAACGGATGCCTTAACCTGGAGCTACCAGCCTGGTGAGCGGTCCAGGCCCCGCCAGGGTCGGGAGGAGCCCCTGCTGCCCAGTGCGGTTCATGGACGGCTTCTGCCCTCGCCCCGCCCGGGTGGTGCTCACTCTGAGATGTCACATCCGGGGAGCTCAGAGGGCTCCGCTGTCCCCTACCCTGCAGTCTCTGGCCAGCAGGGCCTGGGCGCCCCAGGGGCAGGGAAGGGCCCGCCAGCCCTTTTCCCGCCCGGGCAGTGGCTCTGTTTCTCCCACTGGGGGTGAGCAAGCCACAAAGCTATTCTCTATTGTTCTGAAGCGGATTCCCCTCGCCCTGATTTAATGCCCTAAATAAAATGTTTGGTGTTTACCTCCATGGCTCTGTCCACCAGCATGGTCTCCCTGTCCACTGCGCCTTGGGGCAGTACCAGGAGGCCAGACTGGACAGGGACCCTGGGTTGGGGAGGGGACAAGAGCAGGGGGGCCGGGGGGCGGGAAAGTGGCCAGGTGGGTGTGGGGAGGGTGGGGAGGTCTGCCAGCCAGGGACTGGGGTTACGTGAGGGGTGGGAGGTCAGTGGGCCAGCAGATTCAGGGCTGAGGGCCTCATCACTGAGGTCCCCCAGTTGGGCCCTGCCGCAGGGATGAGGCCTGAGGACCCCTGGTGCTCACAGTGGAGACCCTCCTGTGACAACCTTGGCTCAGAGCCCTCCCGGGTGCCAGGGACAGGCTGGGGGCTTCCTGTGGAGGGGCGGCTGTCCAGTGGGAGAATGGGGCGTGGGGGCTGAGGTGGGGGCACCACCCTGAGGGACCCCCCTGTGAGATGTGTCTCAGAAGGTGGCAAAGCCTCCTGCCCCCCATTTCCATGGAAACAAGCTCACACACCACGTGTGTCACCACTATATGTCCTCAGGCCCAGCCCTCAGGACAGACCCCGCCGCCACCCTTCTCAGAGGCTCCTGGCCGGGACTGTACCCAGCAGTGCGGGAGCAGGGGCCGGCACAGCTGCTGGGCACCTGGGGCCGCCGGCTGCCTGGCCTCCTCCTCCCTGGGGCCGCTGGGCCTCTGGCCTAGAAGGGCAGGAAGTCGTCCACCTCGAGGCGCAGGAACGGGCCCAGCAGGGCCCGGAGCTTCCAGACGGCGGCGCGGCTCAGCAGGGGCGGCACCAGCCCCTCGAAGGGCACGGGGTCCACCACGTACACGTAGGCGGCCGTGCAGGCCAGCAGGGCACCCAGCAGCAGCCTCAGGGCCAGCAGCCTGCGGGCGGCGGCCGTCAGGGGGCAAGGGTGCTGCGGGGATGGTGGGGATGGGCTCTGCCCGCGCTCACGCAGCCACCTACCAGAACTGGCCTCTGAGGCCCTCGGAACATCCCAGTGGTGGCCGTGCCTTCTGCCGGGGAGGGGCCAGTCAGAGTCTGACCCGGGCAGGGGGCCCGGTGCGGTGGGTCCCTGCTCCCCTGCCCAGGGCAGGCGCCTGCACCCACCCAGATGTCTCTGGTCACCTGGCTCCCAGTGGGGCTCCCGCCCTGGGGCCTCCTCCACCGAAGCCCACCTGTCTGCCTCCAGGGCGGGAGCCTGGGAGAGGGTGTGGGGTGGGGCTCACCGCTATGCATGCCATGTGCTGCTCCTTCCTGGCCTGGGTACGGCACTGGGCACGCTCCCTGGGGGGGTCACACAGTCAGGAACATGTGCCGCCCGCCCCGGCCTGCAACCACCCCCTGGTCTGGTGCAGTGGAACTGGAGAGGGGTCAGGGATTGGTCCAGCCCATCCTGACCAGGACCCCTGCCCCCATCCCGGCTTAGCCAGGCCCCTCAGGCCCCCAACTCTGCATGTCACCCTAGAATCTCCAGCTGAATGTCCTCCATCTGGTCTAGCACGCCCCGGATGTCCTTCTTGAGGTTCTGGGCGACAGAGGAGGAAAAACGTGTACTCCACCTCGATGGGGCTGCTGTGCCCCTGCCACTCGCCACCGCACCAGGCCCTGCCCCTCATCCTCTGGGTGTCGCCTCAGGGACCTACCAGGAGCCCGGTGGCCTGGTTATTCAGGGCCATGTGTACCTCGGCCACGCCATCCCACACCTGGTGGGAGGGGGAGGCCGGGTCACGCCTTGAGTTAGATCCACCATGTGCCCCACCCGCTGGGCTCCCCAGCGCCCCCTCCCACCCCAGCCCAGTGGGCACCTCAGTAATGGCCATCTTCTTCCTCTCAAAGGACAGTCGGATCTGCTGCAGCTCGTTCTAGGGGAGGGAGGGGCACAGTGTGGGCATGGGTAGGGCCCGTGGTGGTCAGCTCCCTCCTCCTCTGCCACCTGGGACTGCTGCATGGAGGACCCCCCCACCCCCCACCCGGCCCCACCGCCCAGCTCCCTGGCCCACCTGGGACTGCTGCACAAAGGCCTCTTCGCCCCGGCACAGCTCCCGCCGCAGCAGCTGCAAGGGTGGCCTGTCCTCTGGGGGCCGGGGGCCGGCCTGCTCCGGGGGCTGTGGAGGAGCCAAAGGGTCCAGCCCTCAGGCCACGGCCACATCTGAGTCCGGGACTGCTCGGAGCGGGCTGGAGCGTGGTACGTGCAGTGACAGCGTGGTTGCCAGCCCCCCTCCCTCTGTCCCGCCGGCCTCTGCATGCACTCACCCAGGCCAGGGCAGTGCAGCTCGAGTGCTCCGGGCACAGGGGCAGGAACTGCTGCCCTGGCCCCAGCAGGGCTCCCAGCTGCTCCCGCAGGTCCTGGTTCTGCCTTTTCTGGGGGTGGGGCAGAGAAACAGAAGGCCCATCACAGCCGCTTGCTTCTCAGGCAGGAGACCTACGCGGCGGGGGCTGGGAACTGCCATGAGCCCATTACACAGACAGGCTCTGAGCCCGGGCCAGCCCTGCAGCCGCCACAGGCCCCTCACTCACCAGATTCTGGTTCTCCTGCTCCAGCTGGAGGAAGGACTGCTCTGCAGGCCCCAGGGGCACACTCTGGAGCTGGGAAGGGGCTGCCCTGGGTGAGGCTGGGGTCCCTGCCCCCACAGGCCCTGAGCTGGGGCCGCCTCCCCGCCTGGGGGCCCCCTGTTCTTGTCCTGAGTGCAGGGACCAGCCCCACCCCAGCCCTGCCTCCATCTGTCCTTGTCTTGCCCCCGCTGGGTCTCTCGGTCTCTGCCGCTGCATCTCTCCCTCTTCACTTCCACGAAAGCCACCCGGGGCCTCGTTGCCTACCCGGGGCACCCTGCCCCCTGCCCCTGGGGCTGGGAAAGGCCTGGCTGACTCCATTGAGTGAGTGGAGCTGAGAGGCACCAGACAGGGCCACCTTACAAACCCTTGGCAGGGTGGGTCCAAGCATCCTCCGTGGCTGCTCGAAGCTGGGGATTGGGGGCACTGGGGGTGGGAGTGGCCACAGGGGGCCAGGGTTTTCGGCCCCTCCATACCTCCCTGGGACCCCTTCCTGACCCCAGGTCCAGGCTCTGGCCTGGTCCAACCTGCCACTCTCTCACTGAGGGCTTTCTGGGTGTCACGGCTCACAGGTCTGCCTCAGGGGCGCCTGTCACAAAGGTCTAGGCATGGCCAGGGAGGTCACAATGGGCCAGGGCGGTGGCCAGAGCCAGGGCTAGTGGGACCCACCCAGGGAAGGTAGCGCCCCTGTTACTCAAGTGCCTACCTGGTCACCCTGTCTGCATGCCCCCGACCCCTCACCTGCTTGTAACACAGGTGGTACAGTCACATGGCAGAGACAAACTTGGACAGCAGCCAGGTGTCCAGCACCACCTCCCTCCACCTCGAGGTCCTTGCCTCAGCGCCTGCTTCGCGGGACAGCTGCACATCCCACGCAGCTGAGCACCATGACTGCTCTCCCTTCACAGAGGTGATCATCCCACAATCTGGCTTTTTTGCCTAAAATAGCTCCAAGTTTTTAAAAAAATATATTATTTATTGAACATTTACTTTAATGGTCCTCTAAGGACAATTACTATATCCTCTTCACAGGTGGGGACACTGAGGCATGAAGACATTTAGTCGCTGGCCCAAGGCCGCCCTCCTGTTGAGCAATGGAAGCAGATTCGAGCTTGCCCTCTGCTGCTTCAGAGGCCCCGTTAGTGACCACAGAGCACACTCCTGTGGTGGAGCCAGACTCAGGCCCCTGGTTTGTTTCTGCTCCCTTCTTTCCAACATTCTGTTCTGCTGTCTGTCCTACCGCCCCCCACACTGTTCCTGGAGCCCCTGTTTCCATGTCCTCCTCTCTCTCAGTTTCCTCCCTTGTGTGGTGGAAGCACATCCTCAAGTAACATCCTCAGAAAGGTAGATCAGATGAAACTCGAGTCCCTATGTAGTAGAAACAGCCACAAATCCCTCCTCTCCTGGCGTCCTTGCCCCTCTGCAATGTGACTTTGTCCCTTCACAGAAAGAGATGGAGCCCCTCCCTTCACCCTGCACTCTGGGCTAGCCTGGGGATTCACTAGTCTGATGGGCTGTCACTAAGTTGCGGGCTGCAGAGCTTGAACAACGCTCATGTGTAGGGCCGAGATCGTTCTCTTGCTGTTCTGGAGAGTGTCTGCTGTGGGGGAGGTGTGGCCTTCCTGTAGGACTTGAGGTCACGGGGAGGGAGGCTTCTGTCATCCCAGCTGGTCCCAGCTGCCTGAAGGTGGGTTGACAAGCAGAGTGAGACCCGCGGAGAACCACCCCCCGGGGCTGGCCGGGCCACCAAGCTCCGGGCTAATTGTGCTTGCTTTAGCCACTAAGTTCTGGAGTGGCCTGTCACGTGGGACACATGATGAGGCCCCTCACAGGCCTGAAGGCATCTTGCTCTGTCCTCACACTTGTTGGATGTCGGGCTGGGAGAGAATCAGCTCAGTGGGAATTCTCCCACAGGAGCTCGAGGGGGCCTCGCACCACAGCTGCTGGTCCGAATTCCAGCAACCACGTTCTGGATTTCTAACCCAGCTCGCTTGTCCTTTAAGTGACCCCTCCTCTTTCCTCAGAGCGTCCTGTTTTGTTGTAGGGATGAAGTGGGTTTTGGGGGAGGAGCTTTTTCTTCCTGTGTTTTCTCTGTTCTCTTTGTGGTTCTTTTTTGTCTTCGGTCTTAGGATTTCCCATCAGACACTATCCTCAGTGTTCGGCTTTTCTGCTCCTGTGTGGAAGGGAGGCAGGAGAGAGCCAGGGTCTCTCCCCGCGAGGACCCGGAGCTCTTGAGGGCCAGGCCCCTGGAAGGGCGGCCTCCCGCCTCAGGCAGACTGCAGGGCTGCGGTCTGGATGGGATGGCTGGGGGAGTCGGCCTGGGCAGTCCCCGTGTCACCCGCTGTCCCTCACAAGTGTTGGACGGTCACCCCAAGCCACGCCTTAGCCAGCCCCGTGTTTCTGTCCCTGCTTCGTCTGCACCTGGGCTGCGCTGCTCAGTCCACCCCTACTTCCTGTCTTAAGCAGTTTGTTGAAATCCCTTGTCCGCAGGTGGTCTCACTCCTGTTGCCTTTGTGGGATGGATATACTGCGGGGGCCGCTGGTGGGGAGCTCACCAACCAAGGAGGTGGCGTGCACAGTCCGCAGGCTGCGCCAGGCCGGATGCCTGTGGCCCTAGCCCCAGAGGCCCCTCCGTGTTTCTGACAGGGGGTGTCTATGTAGCCAGTAAGGACAGGCTGTGGCTGGGCGTGAGCTGGGAAGGATAGGCCTGAGCCCCCCTCAGGCATCATCTGTCCCCCGAACTGCCCAGCCAGCTAGGGAGTCTGCTCAGCCACTGGAGGGAGGCAGGGCCCCATGGGATTCCTCCCCCAAGACCCCCTCAGCCTCGGCCCTGAGGCTCCTATCTGGAGTCTCGTGGGTCTCGGGATAGGCTCAGTTCAGAGTACCCATCTGGGGGCCACTCAAGGTGGGGGCCAAGGAAGGCTTCTTGGAGGACTTCCCAGGTGAGGTGGCTGGCCACGAGGGCCATGAGGAAGGGGGATGGGGCAACGACTCTGGGCAGCTGGCAGCTGGTGTGGGGAGGGGGCCGGGAGGTGGGGTGGGGACTGCATCCTGTGCTTGGTGCCCAAGCCTGCCAGGTGCCGGTGGGTGCCTGGGAACATTACATGGGGAGAGAGAGGTCCTTCCTCCTGTAAGAACAGCAGCCACAGCTGCCTGGGGTCCTTGTGTCTCACTGTGGCCATCCAGGCTGGGCTTCAAGGCCTGAAGGCAGCGGCAATCCCTGGGCGGGTTCGAGGAGGTGCCCAGGGCACCCTGATGACACAGGAACCCTGCCCCACTTGCACATCCTCCCCTGCCCATGGCCCCAGGGCGCCTCCTTTTCGGCTGGGGAGCCCCACGCAGCTTGCTGCACCCCCACCTTTACCTAGGCTGTGCCCCCGTCTGGAAGGCTTGCTGGTGGCTCAGAGCCCAGCCCTGAAGACCCCAAGTCCCTGAAACTTTCCTCACCCCCTCCCTGTGGTCCTTGCAATGTGGCCCTCAGCTCTAGAACGCCCCAGTGGAGGGGGGCTCTCAGAGCGAGAGCGGATGCTTGGGATCCATAGTCCTGGCGGCATTTCCATGTATAGGGACAGATATGCTAATGTATGCAAAGTACCCTGAAAATCAGTGTCCTGGATTGGGGTGGTGGGGTCTGCATGGAGCCTGGGCTCCAGGGCGCCCGTGTCGGGGTGGATGTGAGTCTGCTCTGGGTGCAGGCACCGGTCGGAATTCCTGGCCATGGGCGGGAAGTGGGGCTCGAGTGCACTTTGTGGGGAGCTCCAGGCCACGGCCCCTGCTGCCAGGCAGCCTGCGTCTCCCTGGTCGCCAGTTGCCATGGCAGCCACTTCCTGCCCAAGTTGCTATGACGCCCAATGGCCTCAGGGAGCCTGGAGCCTGGGAGCAGGGGTGGGGCTGGGGAGGGAGAGGTGGCTGTGGATGCCCACACCCTTCCTGCCCTGAGCAATGGCTGGGGCGCTCCTGCCCGGGACTCACTGTAGCCTCGACATTCAATGTCCTGAGCTGATTTCAAAAGCTGGGAAGCGGGTCTGCAGCAGATGGAATTCGGGGTCCCTGGGTGAGCTGCAGCTCCTTGGGAGGAGCCCCATTTCTGTGCCCCCTAACCCGGGCTCCTGGCCCAGGCCCTCCCCCTCCAGCCCTCAGAGGCACGTTGTGTGTCCCTCAGGCCCTGCAGGCTTCCTGATGCAGCCTGGCTGGGGGTGATTGCCTCGCCAGGGGCTGCAGGTCCCTCTTGATCCCTCGCCTCCTTCCCAGGGGTGGGATGAGTTCTCCTTTGCTCTGAGTGTGTAACAGACAGAAGGTGGCCACTGGTGGGGCCCCTGGGGCTCTGCAGATGGTCCTGCACCTCTCAGGGGCCTCTAGAGTCAGAGCCAGGACTGGGTGTGGCCATGAGAAGGATGGGCTGGCCTGAGGGGTGACTGCCCCACCCCAGGGCCAGAGGATGGGCACGCTCTGGGTGAGCAGACACATGTGGCTGAGCACAGGGAGCCGCCCTCCCCTCCCCAGCCTGTGGGGGCAGCCCTTCTGGATGGGGGACAGGCTGAGGCGGGCCCTAGGAATAGGGTGCAGGTGAAAGGCAGAGGAGGGTGCTGGGTGGGCGGGCCCTTGAGAGCCACCCTGGGCGGTCCCCCTGCACAGGCCCAGGCTGGGGCAGTAGACCCTTTGTCTGCCCTGTCCCCAGCACAGCCGAGCAGCTCCCTGGGCATGGGCTGTGGCAGGTCATTTGTCTTCCCTTCCTGGGTGACTCTCCAGAACCCGCTGCTCACATTTTTTATTTAAGAATCAGAAAAGATAATAAGAATGTCAAGGAAAATCCTCTCAGGGACATGCAGCCCCAATAAATTACCATCAGCCGAGGCGTTGAGGGCTCCAGGCTGGGGAGGGGCCATGCTGGGGGCTGCGTGGGCCCCTGCACTCCAGGGAAGGAGAACCGGATGTGCCCACCCCTGCCTGGGCCCAGAGACGCCCCCCCCCAGAGGATCTCACCCAGCTAGGCTCAGCACTTTCTCTGTCCCCCATGCCCATCTACCCCTGCCAGCTGGACAGTGGTGCCCAGAGAGCCAGCGTGGCCAGAGTGCCTGATGGTCAGTGCCAGGGTCACCTCACCAGGTCCTTACTGGGGCCAGAATCCAGGATGCCTGCTCACCCAGCTCTCTGCCTCTGTCCCTAGCCAGCTCTTGCTGGGCGTGGACGGTGATGGGCCATGAGCTCCTGGCCTGTCCCTGTGCCTGGGCCATGGGCCCGAAGGGATTGAGTGAGAGACCGAAGGTCAGTGAGGGGCGGAGACCTCGAGCGGCCACAGTCGGCGCTGGTATTCCTTGAGGCAGGTGCTCCCACCCCTGAAGGACGCCTCTTGTTCTCCTGGCCAGCCAAGGTGTAGGTCCCAGGATCCACCACCAGATGGCGCCACAGCCCTGCGGACCAGCTGCAGGCGTCAGGGGACCCCAAGCCCAGGGCAGGGGGCCGCCCCTGGGCGGGGAGGAGCGGTGGTGGGGGGGTGGGGGGCGGTCTGCCCAGGCTGAAGCTTCTAGAGAGGGAGGGACAGTGCAGGGGAGAAACCTCCTCCCACTTGGATCTGTGGTTTTGTGAGGGCCTGGGGCAGCAGCTGGCCCTTGTGGGGTGGAAATGTCCTTTGCTGGTTCCACCCCACTGTTCACACTGAACATTGAAATCAATCATCCTGGGACTCACCCCGCACTCCTCAAGGGCCCTCGCCTGCTCCCTCTCAAGGGGCTGGGGCTCCTTCCCCAGCACAGAGCCCTGCCTGGCAGCCCTGGGTCATTCTGTCATTCGCAGGGTGGTGTGAGGGGTCCTGGGGGCACAGCTGCCTCTGGCCAGGGCCTGCGACCGTGGTGGTCGGTCGGGCTGTGAGGCCTTGGCTAGGAAGTGGCTCAGGTGCTGAGAGCTGAGAGGCAGCAGAGGCACAGCAGTGAGAGGACTGCCGCCCTCAGGGGGCCAGAGTGGAGTCAGGACAGGGGTCACTGCAGGGTCTCCAAGACACAAGCCACAGGGAGGAGTTGCCCAGGAGGCTGTGGATGGGGACTAGGAAGGAGACCAGGCAGGGGTAAGGGATGTGAGAACCCCACTTTTAAGCGTTGCCTCGGCCCCCAAATTGAGAATGACCACCACTGTTCTTTCTCGCAACAGCATCCAGGTGTGCACACCAGATGTTGACTTGTGTGCTGGGGTCAGGGCCTTGGGAGTCTCAGTTCAGGCTCCCCAGCCCTGGGTCTGAAGACCCAAGGTGCCACCTCTCAGCATCAGGTGAGCCAGCCCTTACTGAGGCCTTCAGGCCCCTGGGCAGCCCGGGGGCCTCACGAGCCCTGCTTCCTGGAGCCAGGCCAGCAGTCCGCGCCCTGTCCTGGTGAGACAGGCTCCCGGGTGTGGGGCTGAGAGCAGGGGTGGTGAGGTTGGCTGTCCGGGATCTGGGGATGGGCCTTGTCAGGACCAGGCAGGACCTGAGAAGTCAGAGGCAAGTGGGCAGGGCCTGGGGGTGGGCTGGAAGCTCTGAGTTAGGGTACGGGGCTGCAGGCCGGAGAGAGCACGGGGCACAGGCCCTCTCAACCCTGGGCATTTGGGGCCTGGGCCGGGCCTCGTCCCCAGGAGTTGTCCCCGTGACTGTAGCTCCGCGTGGCTGGAAGGGTGTGATGACGGCTGTCGGAGCTCCCTCACCCTGCTCCAGAGCACACGGCTGCCAAGTGGACTGAAGTCACACACTGCCGCCTGACCACAGGCTTTCCAGACCGATGATGCCACCAGGGCCTCCTGATGAGCCCTGGGCTGCAGGGCCCCCTGGGGGGCCAGGTGGGGATGGAGAGGAGGCGGTGCATAGTCACGGGGGTGCAGGGTACCCAGTCCCTTCCTGGGCTGTCCATCATCCTCCCTGGCCCGCCCCGTTCCAGTCCCCTCTCCATCAGCAGAGGGCTCAGCCCAAGGCCTCCTGACCTTCCAGGAGAAGGTCAGCCTTCAGTGCCCGGTTCCAGGCTCCTGGTGACCTGAGCTCACTGCCCTTGGCCGGAGTCCGCCTGGACGTCTGCAGTGGAAGTAGCTCCTCGGGCTTCCCTCCTTCTGTCCCGGGAAGCAGAGACCGGTGCACCCCTCTCTAGGCTTTCCCTTGTGACATCTCGCTGTTATGTCCTCTGAAGTGGGGTCTGCTGAGTGCAGCCTGCAGACACTTGCAGCAAACTCAGTCCACAGCCCGGGAGCTCCGGCTTCCTGGCCGAGAAGGTGAAAGGCCGCCCGCTTGCCCAGCTGGCAGGGGGCGCGTCAACTGCCCGTTCGCCAGCCGACCAACATACCACCAACCGACTCCCTGCTGGCCCCTCCGAGCCTCTCAGGGGCTGACTGGAGGTGCCACGGGACCCCAGGTGCCCGGCCCAGCCTGGCGGGCAGCTGGCTCCCTGAGGTCAACTTGGGTCCACTGGAGGGGCAGGTGGGTCACCCTCCCTCCCTCCCGCCAGGACTGCTCACAGCTGCCCCTCCTCCACCTTGTCCCCTCCTCTGGCCTCAGGCCCCACCAGTGACCCACACCATCAGCCCACTACCCAGCAAAGGAGCCGCCCACCCACCAGCCCACCCACTGGAGTATGCAGCCGGCCAGCCCTCTGGAGCCAACTGCTGCCCACTGGGAGCTGCGCCGTGGAGCCGCCCGGGAGCGCTCTTCTGAATAAGGCCCGCATCGACCGCGAAGGGCAGTGTCTTCCTCACGGACGCGCTGCGAGCCACTCGCCATACGAGGGAGACGTTTAATTTATCTCAGGAACTGGGCACAAGTTATAAAAATGGTAATTTCTTGGAGATTCAATTACATATTTTCAGCATTACCCTCAGTAATCAAGGAACGATTTTTAAAGAAAGGCTGTGAGATGATACGAATCCCGGGGAGGATGGGGCCAGGCGGCGGTGTCGGGACGCGGGGGCAGTGTCTGCTGGGGCAGAGCCACAGGGCAGAGTGGGCTGAGCTGCCAGGCCTCAACCTTGCCCCCCAGGAAGGGCCTGTCTCCGGCCCTGCCGGCCTGGTCACGGAGGGCCATGAAGTGACTCGGTGGCTGCCCAGGACGCCCACGTCCCTGCCCAGCTGGGCACCGTCTGTCTCCCGAAGCCTCTGCGGGGAACGGAGGGGGCTCCTTGTGGGGCTCAGACCTGGTTATTTTTTTTTGTGATGTCTTGGCTCTAAATAACATCCCCAGGATTACGGCGCTGGCGGCCAATGGCACCAGGTGATTGGAAAAAGGGTTTATGGCCCCGCGGGTGAAATTGAACTTGCATCAGATGAGTATTTCCAAGATGGGATTTTCCTCCCGGCAAAGGAGGCACGTTTCCTGCTAATTACAGCGGTGGTTCCTCCTGCTCATCACCTGCGGCCGTGTGCGCACTCAGGCACAGGGCCGGGCTCCTGTGGCCTGGGGATCAGGGCTGGGGTCACCACCAGGCCCCCTAATCCCAGCAGACCCTGGCGCTGGTTCTGGGGGAGGTGACCTCACTCACCAGGGGACCAGGAAGGGGAGAGGAGGCCGGCAGGGCCAGGTCACACAGAAGGGGGCTGGCAGGAGGCCCCCAGGCTGGGGTGGGAGGTCTGCCAGGCCATCAGCAGACTCGGGGCGGGGGTCCTGGGCCCAGCTAGGCAGTTGGCCCCAGATCCAGCTCTGCTACTCCTGAAAGTCCTTTTGTACCTGACTGCAGGCTGCCCAGGGCCGGCCAGGGTGAGCAGGAGCAGCCGCTGCCTCAAGAGGCCTGCGCGGTACCACCCTGCCTAAGAGGCTTTGAGGCTCAGGGTTCTGTCTTAGGGCCAGGCTGGGAGCCTGGGGGAGGTGCTTATGGTGAACCCCTTGGGCTGAGTTGGCTTCTGGGGAGGGAAGGCGAGGCCCTGCTGTCTACACAGCAGACAGGTTGTTGTCACAGGCCAGCTTCTCCCTGCTTCCTGCTAAAGGGACACAGACCATCAACATGGACCACCCCTTTGGGGGGCAGCTGCCTTATCACCCATTTTCCAGGTGAGACACAGGCTCAGAGAGGTGAAGGGCTTGTCTGGGGTCATACAGTGGATAAGCAACAGAGTGGACAAGTCAAGGGCCTGGGGATGTCCAGAGTCATCCCTCTGCCAGAGTCTGGATTGGGACGGTGTCCAGGAATCCAGGGATGATGGGTCAAGGCCTGGCCAACAGTTGGGGACTGGCCAGGGAAGAGAGGGCATTGTTATCCCTGCAGCCACTGCCCTGAAGGACAGAAGGGGGACCTACTCCCTGGGGGGAGGCAGGGCCATCCTTCCCTGCTCCCTCCCACCAGGCTTGCAAAGTGGCCCACCTGCCAGTCGTGACGCCGACAGGAAGGGTATGGTGCCCAACATCCTTAAAGGGGACTTTTCCCAGAGTAATTACCTTCGATTCACTTGCAGTAAATACTAGGCTATTTTTTCCCTCTCCGATAATTGGACTTATTTATTTTTAACTAAGATTAAATGTTCTCTCTGAGCTCAAGATATACCGCTGTCCTGTCAGGTCTGGTCAAGCTCTCCTTCTTCCTGCCTCCAGAGGACAGCCCACCAGGCAGGGAAGGGGCCAGTGGCTGTTTGGGGCAGAGGTGCTTGGGCAACGACATTGCTTGTTGGACACTCTGGGTCCTGGAGAATCAGTTTCCATCATCACTGCTGTCACCATGAACATGACCATCATTACCATCAATCACCTCCATCATTGCCACCGTCACCTCCACCATCACCACCATCACCCCCATCGTTGCCACTACCTGCCCACCTTCACCACTACCACTGTGACCACTGCCTTCACCACCAGCAACACCAACACCACCATCATGACCACCACCTTCACCACCACCACAACCAACACCAACAGCTCCATCATGACCACCACCTTCACTACCACCACCATCACAATGACTGTCACCACACCACCACCATTGGCACCACCATTGTCACCACCATCATCACCACCACAACCACCATCATCACCACCACCTTCACCACCGCCACCACCATCACCACCACCACCACCATCACCACCACCTTCACCACCACCACTATCGCCACCACCACCATCATCACCACCACCTTCACCATCATCACCATCATCATCACCACCACCACCATCACATTCACCACCATCACCACCATCATTGTGACTACCTGCCCACTTCACCTCCACCACTGTGACCACTGCCTTCACCACCATCCTCACCACCATCACCACCAGCAACACCAACACCAGCATCATGACCAAAACCTTCACCACCACCACCACCACCATCACCACACCACCACCATTGCCATCACCATCATCACCACCACCTTCACCATCACCATCATCATTATCACCACCACCATCAACACCACCACCATCATCATCATCACCACCACCTTCACTACCACCACTATCACCACCATCACCACCATCATCATCACCACAACCTTCACCGTCACCACAACCTTCACCATCACCACCACCTCCACCTTCACCACCACCACTATCGCCACCATCACCATCATCATCACCACCACCTTCACCATCATCACCATCATCATCACCACTACCACTATCACTACAATCTCTGTGACTGTGCCATCACCACCACTATTGGAACTCCATGTTGACAAGCCCACACTACGTTTGAGTTCGCCATCATTTGGCAATAATTGCTCCAGCATAGGAGCCTCCACACTGGTCTGATGGCAACTGGCGGAACGTCAGACATGGCTACTCGTTGGGGAGCACATTGTGAGGAGGGAAGAAGGGCAGGCTCAGCAGGTCTTGAAGAACTTGGGCCTTTGAGTGTCCACGGTTCATGGATACTCCCAGTGCCCTCAGTTCATGGACACTCCCAGTGCCCCCTCCTGTCTCAGCAGTGACTCAAGTTCTATATGACCAGGCTGAAGCAGAGGAAGCCACCGTGGGTGGAGAATGGGCAGAGGAGTCCCCAGTCTGTCCACACCCGCATCACCCAGGCTGGCATGTAGCCTCTGTGGCCTCCCCAGAGCTAGGGAGCGCCAGTGCTGTGGGAGCCAAGGGAGTGGCTTGGGGTCGAGGCCGGGTGCTTGGCAGAAGCAGCTGGGTGGCATCAGCTGTGCAGAGTCTGCATCTGGGCAAGGCGGGCAGAGCCTGGCTTTGCCAGTCTCCTGCCTCTGAGCCTTGGTTTCCTCACCTGGGACATGGGGTGACACAGTGTCCTCTGCACAGCAGGCCATGAGGACAGAGTGGGATGGTGCCCACCAGGGGCCCTAGGGCGTGCTGCCAGCTGAGGACCAGCATCGGTGGGGTGGCCTTACCGTGAGGACCCTCAGAACAGCAGGGAGTGAGTGGGGAGCTTGTGCCCACTGTGCTGCTAGGTCACTGGGATCGCATAATGTCACTCCGTGGTGCCAGCTCCATCCTGCCCCAGGAATCCCTAGCCCCACTCAGCCACCAGCACTGCTGTCCCATCCTTGCAGCTGCCCGTGCACACGAGGAGAGTGGCTCCTGGTGGCTCCTCCAGTGTCTGCTGGTCACAGAGCCGAAGCCAGAGTTCTTGGGGACGCTGGAGACTGCCGTGGGGCTGAGTGGGCAGTAAGGCCTGTGGGAGCTCATGGGCCTAGAGCGAGTGGTTGGGGACTGACCTTGGGACAGTGGGGCTGTCAGTGGGTGCCTGCCACGTGGTGGACACTTTGCAGTCTCCCCGATGCCATCCTCCCAGCAGGCCTCAGAGAGACTGCCGGCCTGGGGCTGGGGGTGCAGCCTCGGGGAGAGGGCCATACTCCTGGTCATGCATTAAGGGCCCTGTGGGGTGTGGAGGGAGCTGGGTCCTGCCCAGGGCCCAGGACGCACTCACTGGGGCAGGGCCTTCCACTCAGAGGCCGGTGGGCCCTCCCTGCCTCACCCCGGGAGGGAGCAAACGCGTAGAGAAGTTTGTGTTCAAGAAGTATTACCAACAATTAAAAATCTTGGTGACACCCCCGATGGCCAGATAATTAGTACAATAGCAGGCAATAATTACTTAATGATTAATTACTACACTTAATAGTTTTCAAAGTAATTGTGATCAAGAGAAAGTTAAGTGAAAACCCATCAGAATTGCCGACGCCTGCACAGCGCGGGCATTTTGGTGCTGGGGCACGGCTGAGTCCCCTGGGCTGGGGCATGTCCACAGGAGCCCTGGCTCGCCCATTTGCCGGGGCTCACACACCAGGGCTGGTGCCATCCACACCCAGAGGTGAGGACCCCACACCCACCTGCAGAGAGTCTGGGGTCTTGCTCAATCACTAGGATGGTGGGTGGAGCCTGCCTCTCACTCTGCCCCACAGGGGCTCGTGGAGCGGCTGCAGGGTTGGCTCAGGGGGCCCAGGAGTCTCTGCCCCAACCCTGCAGGTGTCCTGGGTCTCAGGGCTGGTAGGCAGGGGCATCCTCTGTCTTCGGGGGCCAGTCCTTTGTCCTCCCACTGTCTGCAGCCTCTTGGTCCCTGGGAGTACCCCTCTACTATTGGGCTTACCCTGCTGTGCTCCTGGGATCTGGCACAGGGCTGCTCCATCCACCAATTCTCACTAAAATGTGAGTGGTCACTCGGTGCCACCCTGAGTGATTCTAGAGGGCTGCTCTAGGCCTGCAGTCTGAAGCATTTAGCGGTGTGAAGCCTTCACCCGTAGGGAGAGGAGGGCAATGCCAGGCATGGGAGACCTGGCACTTGCTGCCCTGAGTCTGTGAACTCTGCCAGCCCTGGACAGCGGCTCAGATAATGCCAGGAGCCCTGGGGGGTGGGGGGATGGGGCAGGACCTGGGGACCTGCTGTCTTTCACGTGAGCCATTCTTTCTGATTCTAGATCCTGGCCCCGCCTGGTCAGACTCGCAGCTGACACCATGTGCAGTCCCCTCACTTTGACCTTCAGGCAGGACCATCATGTTTATACCCCTCCCCGAGTCATCACAGCTTCCAGAGGCCTCAAAGCCACCTTGTCCCTTCTCTGGGGCCAGTGCTGTCCCTGCACGGCACGCCACAAAGCCACAAAGGGACAGGGTGGCACCCAGTGCCTGATGGTGGGCCAGGGGCAGGCAGATGGCCACTTAACCTGCTCTTGCAGCTTTTTTGAGAGCCTAAAGTTTTTCAAGGTGCAAGATTAAGAACAGGCGGCAGCCCCACGGGGAGGTCGGCTGGGGACCTTCTGTCTCTGCGCAGATGTCACCGGGGCAATGGGCGAGGCAGGTGAGGTCTCAGACTCAGTTTCCCCATCTCCCACTTTGGAGAGAACCATCTCCTTCATTGCTCCTGTTCCAAGGGCACGCCAGGATGGGTAAACTGAGGCCCAGAAAAATTTGGGGCTGCCCAAGGTCCTGAGGACAGGCGCTTGGCCCTGGCCACTCCCACCCCCGCCCCCAGCCTAGGCCCTCAGGTCCAGACCCTCTCGACCTCTGGCCAGGGGTCACTGCCCTAGGAGTCTCCCTTGGCCAGCGCTCCCTCATTAGCCTGTCAGTTCTCTGATCTGAGGTCAGAGGCTCTGAGGCCCTCAGCGGGATCGCTCCTCCAAGCCCGATTTCTCATTAAAGCTCCTCCACAGGCCCCACTTGCTCTCCTCCTGTGCCCGGCAAATGACCCGATGCAGGAGTCAGCTGTCCGCTATGTGAGCACCCAGTGGCCTTGGCCCTGATGCAGCGGGTGATGCAGCTGGGTGGGTGGCGCTGGCCCTGCCGCCCTCCCGCCCAGCCCAGCAGGTTGAGCTGCTGCAATAAGCCCGTTGTCTGCCCCCCTCCCCGCCTCCTGCACTGGTCAGGCAGGGGCTGATGACCTATCAGGAGGGCTCCTGGGACGCACCCTGACCAAAGGAGTCAGGACAGGGACAGAAACACAGGGTTCCTGGACGGTGGGCGGGCCGGGCCCTTCCCTGCTCTGCAGTCGGGCCTCACTTGCCTCATCTGGAAGGTGGGTTTGGGTGAAGGGCGAGGCTCTCTCACTGGATGCTGAGGGGCCTGTTGTCGGGGTCCCTTGGGGCCCAGGCTAGTCCTGAGGGCAGCCTCTGTGCAGCCCCGCGGTGGGGGTGCTGGGTGGGCTCAGGAGATGCTGGCCCCCGGCTGCGGCTTCAGTCTCTGTGAGGAGGCTGAGTCCGCTGTGGGCTCGGGGGCGGAGCAGAGGGTGGGGAGCACCATGTGCCTAGGGGCCTTGCCCCTCGGGGCTGCCTCTCCCTCCTCAGTAGGGGCAGGCAGCAGGTAGACGGCGGGAGTCAGGGCAGATCCAAGGCCACAGACACACTTGCCGTGGGCAGCGGCTGTCCTGTGGACCCCGACTCAGCTCCCCGTGGGGAGGTCCAGGGATGGTGGGAGCTGAGAGGATGAGGCCAGGGGAAGGAAGTTTGGAACAAGTTCAGGGCGATTCCATGAGGTGACTGGCGGGGAGAGATAATGTGCCCCTGCTTCC